TTAATTTATCTATGTAAAGCGCTTTTGATCTTCTAAATGTTAAAGAGCGCTATATAAGTCAATAAATTATTATTAAATTATTATCGATGATTAATCAATAGATTAATAATTATCAATTTGTTATTAATTATTACAAATTATTAGTGAACTGGTGAATAAATAGAGGATTTAAATAAATGAAACAATGGATATTTCACTGCCTGCATCAATGTGTAGTATAATTATGATGGAAGGATGGAATTCTAATTTCACAACTTTAAAATTTGAAATTTCATTCCAAATTAATGTTTAATCACTCAAACAAGTGTTTTATCAGGTTTTCAAGATTGTAATGGTCATACTTATTCAATGGATTAATAGCTATTAATCAACATTATGTCAGGCATGAATACATTAAGGTTGACTTAGACGGCAAAATGTCTGGTTTACTGTCTATTAGACGGCAAAGTGTCTGATTTACTGTCTGACTTAGACGGCAAAGTGTCTGATTTACTGTCTGACTTAGAGCAAAGTGTCTGGTTTACCATCTGACTTAGACGCCAAAGCGTCTAATTTACTGTCTGACTTAGACGGCAAGGTGTCTGGTTTACTGTCTGCGACTTAAAGCGACAATAATGTCTTGTTATGTTATTGACTTAAATGGCAATAAAGTCTGCTTAACTGATAGTCTAAGATAGCTAAAATGTCTGGTATATTGATAGCTGTAAAGGCTGATTTACACGGTACGATTTGTCGCGCGCGACTTGTAGTATACGATTTTCCTACTACAAGTCTTAGGATTTTAAGCAGTGGTTCAAAATCCTACTACAAGTCATAGATTGCGTACGACTGTTGTAGACAAGTCGTAGGGGCATTTACACTGCACGATTCAAGTCGTATACTACAAGTCGCACGAGACAATCGTGCCGTGTAAATCAGCCTTAAGATAGCAGTTATGTCTGGTAAACTGCGATTGAAAAATAGCAAGAATGTCTGATTAACTGATTGACTAATTTATTCATGCTTGAGAAACTATTAATTAATTTGTAATTGTTTCTTTAAAGGATGATTGCCTTGACAGAGGACCTTATWCTCAATCACTGCAATGCTGACTCATTACAAAATATTACAGTATGTACCGTCTTTGGTTTTAATTTACTAAACTAGTGCCAATTCATAGTTCCGACAAATCAAACTCGTTATCCGTGCGCAAGTCTGGATTGGCCAATCAAAATAGAGGACACGTAATGGCAGCCATGTTGTCTCACAAAAAATGTAAACAAGTCGGTTCGTAGGGCGAAGTTGAGATGGTTTTGAGATGTTGCTGGGGCACTTGTAAAGCAGATGAGCGCTAGCCAGCCAGATGAAATGGAGGACGATTTATTTTGATTCCRAAGAKAAKAACTAGCCTAGAAAAATGCTTGAATTGGATCAAAATGTACGGAAAAAGCACAAAGTGCTCAAAGTAAAACTCATGAAAAATAATCGAAAGCATTTGTGGGTCGTTTGTGGGACAAGCGCGAGAGTTCGATTCCCGCGCTTTCTTCTGATTGGATAATCGCGCGCTCGCGTTTGATTTGTCGGATCTATGAATTCATGCTTGCTGATTGGCTGATAAGAGTTTCAATAAGAGGTCATACTTGTAAAACTCAAAATTTGATATCTTGCACATAGTGAAAGCAACAGCTCATTCATGTAGTTTTTCTTTTTACAGGTTTTAAATCTTCATGGGAATGGCCTTACTCGTCTAAAATACATCAATACTATAACTTCACTCAAGAAACTTATTGTTAGTTTTAATGAAATTGCCAAATTAGAAGAAATTAATCACATGGTAAGAGCTGATATAGTTATACTTTAATGAGTGATTGATCCCCATGGCAATTATAGTCTTCTTCACGGTTATGTGCGCTTGAAAGGTAGCTATGCCTTTACATCGGAGTGAGACAGCCGTTGAGTTGAGCATGTAATGATAGATACCTGTGAATAATTGTCTGTAGGTGTGAAAAAAGGTTTCTATCAATTGCATGCTCAAAGATTGCTCGCTTCAGTGCACGGCTACCTTTCAAGATGGCGCAGGTAACCGTGAAGAAGACTATTATATTAGAATTATTATATTCCTCTACAACACTTGCAGTAGGAAAGGGATCCTCCTTTTGATTTGTGGATGGATGAGAACAAAAAAAGATGAAATGAATGAATGGAAGTGTGACGAACAAATGGGTAATGGAAGGGCAGCTAGGAAAACGAGGGAATGAATCATTAATTAATGAATCTTAATGAATCAATCATTCAATAAGAAACAGATATTGCCCACTGTGTTTCTACCCAGCCGAGAAATAAATGAGGGGGAGGGGGGGATGCACAGGCAGGCCAGAATTTAAAAGAATAGCTCTGAATTGGAAAGAGAAATGATTTTTTTCTTAAGCAAAGTTAGTGAACACTGCTAATCTTTTGGTTTTCTTTCCCAACAGTTGTTTTTAGAATACATTGATGTGAGTTTTAATAAGCTCACTACTTTAGAAGGGATGAAGGTACGTCAAACAGCTGATTGAATCTAAAAAGAGAGAATGAAAAAAGGAAAAGATGATGAAATGAATAAATGAATGAGGGGTTGAATGAACAGAGAAGGTGATGAATTACTTAATGATTTATGATTAATTGGCATCAAAGAAAAAAAAGTAAAATCAGGATAAAAAGAGGAAATTAATAAAAAGTAAGGTACTTAGTATTTTAACTATTTTGAATCAAATAATTGTCATTATTGAAAGAATAGCAGTGAGTATGAGTCAATAAGTAAACAATTTACTTGATGAAAAAGTAAACAAATGATAAACGGACAAATGAATATTTGAACGGATGGGAAAATGAATGAGAAACCGTTCAAGTTAATGAAAGAATGGAATTATTTTGAACTGAATAGACTCTCGGTTGGTATTTATGATAATTTCTTTGGATCATTACAGGGCTGTAACAGATTAAAGTATCTTGACATCAGTTGGAATAAATTAAAATTCACTCGAGAAGAACTTGGTCACATGAGAAAGCACATGATTTCACTGACAACACTTGATACAAGGAATAARCCTTGGCAAAAGGTAGAAAACTATCTATAATGGTTATTGTTGTAAAAAACTACCTTTTGTATTAATTTGTATGGTATGGTAATGCAAGGAACAGAAACATCAAACATGTGTTGCATTGCTACAAAAGAAGTTAAAAATTGATTACATGCATATTAAATTATTTAGAAACTAAGATAAAAAAAGTTAAATATAGTAATAATAATAATATTTTAATATGTACAATAGTCTTCTTCACGGTTCTCTCCTCCATCTTGAAAGGTAGCCGTGCATCAAAGTGATACAACCGTTGAGCTTGCAATGATAGAAACCTTCTTTCACAACTACAGACAATTATTCACAGGTATCTATCGTTGTGTCCCTTCAATGCAAAGGCAAGGCTACCTTTCAAGATGGCACAGGGAACCGTGAAGGAGACTATTCTTTGATGCTTATGCTCCAAGATGGTTTAAATTAGCAGCTTGCAAGGCATCACAACATTCTGCATGCCAACCTGTTTTGTAATTACTGCCATATTGCAAGACAAGTTGAACAGTTTTGCTTCTTGCAGTACCATACCTTAAGACAAGGACATTTTAATTCAGACATCCAATACGAACAGGCCACCTTTAATTTATGATATTTAATTTGATTCGACAATTACTTTTAATTACTAGCCTGAGACGCTACGAACAAGAGCACTAGGTCGGTTGAAGAACCTCGAGATCCTGGATGGCAAACCTGTGACATCTGAAGAGGTRGCAACATCACTGCGCATGGCTGCTGCCTCACGTATCTCAACYTTTGCAATCCTGGCTCATTCACGTACTGACCAGGTCAAGCCGCACTCACTGAGCTTGTTTCCTACTGCGCAGACCATATTAGCTACTAGRAACCATAAACCAACCAGGCCTATGGATGATGACAATCTATGGATGTCAAAGGTAATTAAGGACTATAGCCTGACTGAACAATGACATTTGGTAGGATTGATGTATTGTGATTTTAGTGATGCTTCATGTCCTTGAGAATTGGCTGAATGGATGATTGGGTGGATGAATAAATGAATGTGATCAGTGGATGAATGAATGAAAAAAAAGAAAGGATGGTTAATTGGATGAATGGAATTATATATTTACAAGGCAGTCTGAGAAATACATTGAATGGACAAAGTAGATTAATAAGTGCGCTAACAATTTAATTTATGATTGATTGTTTTTCTTGATTGAATGATTGATAGATTTATTAATTGATAGATAGATTGATTGTTTGGTTGATTAATTGATTAATTAATTGATTGATTTGTTGATCGATTGGTTGATTGATTGATTGATTCATTCATTCATTCATTCATTGATTCATTCATTCATTCATTCATTCATTCATTCATTGATAATCTTTTCAATCAGGTAACAACACTTAATCTAGACAATCTTCATCTTGGTAAAATATCCAACCTTGACAAGCTGATCAACTTGAGATGGGCCTCACTTAACAACAATGATTTAACAAAGATTGAAGGCTTTGACAGTTGTTCCTTGTTACAAGAACTCTCACTGGAAGGAAATTGCATCTCAAAATTTGAAGGTAAAATAAAACTACAAGTTAGGGCAACAGTCTCCTTCGCGGTTCTCTGAGCCATCTTGAAAGGTAGATGTGCTTTTGCATCAAAGTGAGACAATGATCAAAACCTGTGAATGTCTGAATATGAAATTGTCTATAACTGTGAAAGAAGTTTTATATCATTGTATGGCTCAATGGTTGTCTCGCTTTGATGCAATGGTACAGCTACCTTTAAAGATGGCACAGGGAACCGTGAAGGAGACTATTAACATTGAAATCAGTTACTAATAGAAAACCAATCATTTTGTATTAGATTATAATATGATTGACATAAACTGGTCAATAATAACCTAATATTAATGTTGTAATTGTTTCTTTAGGGTTAACAAAAAATTCCAAGTTAAAATGGCTTAATCTAAGAAATAATAATGTATCCAATCTTGATACGGGAATGTTGGAAAGGCTGCCGCAGCTTCACCACTTATCCATAGAGAATAACTGTATTAAATCACTGCGAGGTCTACAGGTATAAATGATAAATAARATTGATCTATCTCAAGTTGTGTTTACTGTGAAAGTCATGTATCAATATCATTACCAACAACAGCAATGATAACAATGTGCACTTGGATGCATTATGATTTAAGAGATGTGCATGCATCTGAGAATACCCTTGCGATTGTTAACTACAATGCTTGTGAAAGTTGCTTTCCAATTGGTTTTAAAGTCATGAAAAGATGGCAATTTTTTCATGGTTTTAAAGTCATGCAAAGATGGCAATTTTTCGTATGTGAGAAAATTGTYCAAATGCTCTTAGATGGATATGCATAGGGCCTTTCATGTTATTATTAATAATACTTAAAATAAGTGGTTATCTTTTGTATTTTCAGAATTCTTTGGAGCTACAGGAATTGTACATAGGGAATAATGAKATATCTAATGTCAGAGAAATATTTACACTAAAGGTCAGCAACAAAGTACCTATAATAATATATTAATTAGTTCACTTAATGAACAAACTGGGTTATTTTACCAGACAGTGCAATAATTACATGTATAATTATATACAAATATTTWATTTCAGATAATATCAACTCTAGTGATTCTAGATTTATGTGGAAATCCACTGGTCAATAATACTGCTAATTATCGTTTGTTTGTCATRTACCACTTGACGACACTGAAAGCACTGGATGGGCTTGCTGTGGTAAGTCACATGATCRAGTAAGACAACAATTTTGCATGAGCTGGAATAGCCTCTTTCACAGTTATAAATGTAGCTGTACTGTGCGTGTGCACTGAAGCAATGTGTGCGCATGTGCTGTATATTTTTGAAGATAAATTAATTTGTCTTACTAGTAAGTATAGAAGTGTAACTCTCCCAGATTGACTTATTTTGGTGCAAGGTTACCATTAATATATTAAGTAACAATGCGCGCAAAAAGCAGGCAACTTTCTATTGTTCTGCGGCAATTACAGCTTCCCCACATACAAATGTCTTGGTCTTCACACTGATTATATATCAACCTATGGGTAACAGATTTTTAAAATAAAATGTGAATAAAGTCTGTTTTGAAACAAAGTTTCTTTTGTATTAAAAGATCTTATCCAATCATAATTTAAGCACTCAAAACAATAGCCAAAAAATGCTTCTAATTTGCTATGTTCCCCACTTAGAATTGCTATTAATATTAAAGCTTACCTGCTTCTTACTCGGACCATTACTAAATATTAACATGGTACAGAAAACTAACTGAGAACAAGACTATTTAAAAAAAATATCACCGCATTGAGTTGAACAAAGCCATTCTGACTCTTTATGACTTCATGAGGGCAAGATGTTACGGCAGTGAATATTGCTTGGGGGCTAGACTGCAGATACTCCTTCAACAACTGCAGATGTTGGAAATTCTGTTAATTTTTTTTTTCTTTAACAATTATAGGAACCATCAGAGGGAGGATTAGCAAAAGACACATTTGGAGGAAGGTAAGCTATTAATTATTTATTATTAATATGTAATTAATATTACATAATGTTAAAACATCAATATTCTATGATTTTCATTTAATATTACTTGGCAAAATAGACAATACTTTGATCGGACAATATATTCATGAATAACAAGATGCATTTAATGCTCAACTATTTTTGTTGTTTATATTTTTCATTTCAAGAATGACAACAGATTTCATTGCTGAGAGACTTGGTCATTCAAACTTCATGGAATTGAGAGAACTGGATTTCCCAAATTGTTCATTACGGACTGTTGATCTRGGTAGTGGAGAACTGTTCCTTACTTTAAGAAGGTATCGCACTGTGTTCTTGGTTTCAAAGCATTTTCTTGTTTGTTGGACAGCTTGTCAATGGATTACCAGACACAGCTAGCTTGCTATGGGTGCAAGAGGGTAACCCTCTTTGTCCAATACTCTGACAAATTTYTGCATATTTAATGTCCAATGTACAAATAGATAACAATACAATACTTTTAAGAACGACGCAATACATAACAATAGAATACAATACAATACAATACAATTTGTCAGAGTATCCGACACAAGTACAGGGTGTGATTGTCGCCAGTTGCTCGGTGCTTTGAAAATTGTTATTCTGGTCAGAGGTCACTGCAGTATGTGCTGCCTGTGAGCTGTGCAGGGTTTCACATGTTGCTTGCTGCCTGCTGCTTGCTTGATTATCCCAGATGCCCTGTCTATCCTAAAACACAATATTGCATAACAGCTCTGAAATTGTGGAAAAAAGAAAAATTAACCTATGAATAAAGCCATTAAGTCATAAGCATTTAACATAGGCATATATCAAAAATAAACATTTAATTTTAAATTTTCTTTAATCTTACTAGTGTTAATCTAGAACAAAATTCTTTGACGTCCTTTGGTGGACTTATAAACCTGGTGAATCTAAAGGTTAGTCTGTGTGTTCCGTCTGTCTGTCTGCCTGCACATCTCTCTGTCTGTCTAGTGTTTGATTTATTTTGTTCATCCATTTAATCATCTATAATTCATTTTTCACTTATTTTTCCATCATGAATTTATCTATTCAATGATACTTCTCATGTTAATTCAACCCTTTTAATACTAACTCACATTTTATTCATATTTCGTCATTTTATTATCGCACATTCAGTCATGATTTATATTTTCATCGTTTAATCATTGTTCATTCATTCATTTATTCACTGAAATGTCTTCATTTTTATTTTATTCTTATTATTTATTCACAGAATGATATTTATTCACTTGCTCATCCATCCAATAATTTTATTTAACGACATTCACAAATAACTATTTGCTTTATTCAATGAAATAAGGAGAGTGTGAAAAAAGAGCTATCAAATGATTGTATATTTTATAGAGAACAAAACAAGTACCTAGTACATCTAATAGCTATTTCCCATCAGTCTGCAAGCTTGCCATCATATTTTAGGTCTTGTGTTTAAATCACAACCATATTGAGACAGTTGTTGCAAAGTCCAAGTCATTTTCCCCTGCTAATGCATCTAAACAAGGAGCAGTTAAAGAGACTGATTTCACCAATCCTGAATCATACACACCGGTGCTTCTTAACCTTGAAGTCCTTCATTTAGGGTGAGTGTATTGACTCTTTGTTGCCAAGGCCTAGCACCACTAGGCTATACAATGTGTGTAATAGACGTAATAGCATCATTGACACATATCAAAAACGTTACCTCACAGCAAAAATGATTCATAGATGAGTCTAACTAGATTTCTCTTGTAATGGACAAGGAGCGTAGCGTATTGGAATGGAGAGAGAAATGTGTTCCTATGGGAACGAGAGGACTGGGCCCAGTATGCTAATGAGTTGTATATAATGTGTGTCAAGGGATTGTGTAATCAGTGTGGTCCAAGCTTTGATTGACTTTTGAACTTTAGAATTTGTGATGGTTGTATTACAGAGTGATTTACTGCGCTCAATGCTAACTGTATCATGATTGTAGACGATGCTCACGTGTGATTAAAGTGTGGAGACTTGAGCCTGGACCCGTCTAGGCAGATATATGTTGTGTTAGTTTATGAACTCGAGGGAACAGTAGGAACTAAAGTTCCTCTATTCAATGGGAGCCAATACATTATATAAGGACATTCCCCAATTTTGTAATTAAATGTATTATGACAATATTATTTTTTATTATTAATTTGAATTTATGTTTCTTTATATTATTAAATATGTTTTTATTCTGAACAGATATAATGGTATATCAAGTCTTGCAACTCTGCAATTATCTCGTCTTCCAAATTTGAAAGCTCTCTTTTTACAAGGTTGGTATTTATATTAGTGATAGGTTTAGCTTAATAAAGTTTAAAGATTACTGCAGTATTGCAATAATTTATTGTCAGGAGTAAATGTTTCTTGTTATTGACCTCTAGGAAATGAAATAACAAAAGTTGAAGGTTTGGAAGGACTACGAGAATTACGAGAGTTGGTACTCGATAGAAACAAAATCAAGGTAAATCAAAATCACTTTTATTGATTAAATAATAATCACAATCAATCAATCAGCTAACAATAAATCAATAAATTAATCAATCAACCAATCAATCATTCAACCAGTCAACAAGTCAATCACCTAGTCAATCACTCAACAAATCAATCAATCAACCAGTCAATCAATCAACCAGTCAATAAATCAATTAATCAATCAACGAATCAATCATTCAATCATCTAACCAGTCAATCAACTAGTCAATCAATCAACCAATCAATCAACCAGTTAATCAATCAATCAATAAATAAATTAATCAATCAACCAATCAATCAATCAAGTGGTCAACAAGTCAATCAACCAACCAATCAATCAACCAGCCAATCAATCAATCAATAAATTAATCAATCAATCAATCAACCAGTAAATCAACCAATCAATCAGTCAACCAGTCAACAAGTCAATCAACTAGTCGATCAATCAACCAATCAATCAATCAACCAGTCAATCAATCTGACAATCAGTCATTTAATTAGAGAGTAAATTAATCAAACAGCTGTCCATCAATCATCAATGAATCAGTTTGCTTGCCTTGAAATACATTCGTGGACACAACCATGAATAATTCAAAATACTAACTGTCCATAATATTTAATTAATTGATAATAACTATTACTTACTTATCCTTGCAGTGTTTGCATGAATATTCCTTTGTCAACCAATGGAATTTAGTTGAACTGCACATGGAAGAAAATCGGTAAAAATGCTTAATGGAATAATGGCATGCTTCTTTGCTTGCTGGAAAAAAATGGAAGGAATAATTAATATGTATTTATGTACCGTCTCTCAGATTAAGAAGTCTGTCATACATTGAGTGTRTACAAAATCTACAACGACTCTACATTGGGATGAACAGAATACAGGTAGAGTGGTAGCTACAGCATTTTATAATTAAAATAATAATAATAATTTTTATGGTGCAAACTCACATGTGGATAAATTATGATCAAATTCACCTAGTGTAACAAATAAACTCAAGAACATAATCATAAACAACATAAAGTAGATAAGAATCCAAAATGGTGCGGAGGTGGACCAGTTGTCAAGTATGTTACAAGCATGGCAGAGAAACTGAATTTGAAAAAATCAAAATTGGAACAAATTCAGTCTCATCTTGTTGCCAGGACCATCTCATCATCCCATCATATGTTATGAGGCCAACGCTCTGGCCACTCAGCCATGGTGCCTCAAGCTCATTTATATTCAGTACACTTAAAAATATAATGATTATATAGTGATTATTAGTTGTATGTGTAATTCCATTCATTTTTTTTTTTTGCATTTAATACTGACAGTATTATTTAATTTCAGGATTTTAATGAACTTGAAAAGCTGGAGCCTTTATCAAACTTAATGGAGTTATCAGTGATCAATAACACTGTAAGTATGAAAAACAAATTTTTAAACATGTTAAAAACTAGCATTTTTAGTACTTAATCTAGGCAAAATGAAATTGAGACAATTCAAATCTACAGGTTACCCGTCGCCTCCTTCACCGTCCAACACTGGTYTTCAGAATGCCAGGGTTACTTTGTATTGATGGGATTCCTGTCTCAAATGAAGAYCGAACCAAAGCAGAAGTATATTTCTTGGAACAGCAGGTAATAACAGCATATTATGATCATTGTATTTGCAACCTGCATTATTTTATGTTTCTCACATTTTGTTAATATTTTTCAGGGTGGAATGCAGAGCAATGGTACTACTGAGTCCAGTCTTCCTGGAATACCAACAACCACAAGACAAACACATGCACCTTTAAGGGTAAGACAGACAGACAGTAGACAATGTGCAGCAATGCCTTTTTGTGCAGCAATGCATGATGGCAGTTATAGTCCTCACACTTAGTATAGGTTGTGCACCCTTAGAAGCCTTCAAATCTACAACTTACTATTTTTGGCTTAGAAAAAGCAAAAACCATTTCAGAAGGCCTAGACTGCTTTAGAGGGCATGGAAATTTAGTAAAAGAGGAGTATAACTACCATGATCATGKTTTGCTGTATAAAAAAGGTGTTGCAGCACATTGTCTATTTTTTTATTGTTGTCATGAATTTTTCCATCTTTTTATTTTTCTCTTGAGATTTCTAATTTTTGAAACTACTTTAAAATTAAAATTATGTACACAACCACTGATCCAATAAAAGCATGCATCTGTGAGAGGCTACAAATCAGACTACTAGCCTGTGTACTCTTCCCAGATCCCATGATCACAGTGTCTCTTCASAAAACTAGAAGTATCCAAGCTGTGTCACTTCTTTTCATGCATAGTTTGATATTAATGTTTTTTCTTGGTGTATTCAGGTCACTACAATGCATCTCAGTAATTCTASTTGGAATGCAGCATCAAGACAGGAGTTTGTCAATAGCTATGTCAATGGAGACTCRCGTGACTCTAACAATAAAGGTACTGTGGAGGGGAGGGGACAAGAGACAGTTTTGTTGCTGACTATCTTATGCCTCTTTTTAGCAGCACAAATCAGTTGAAAGAGTATTTTTGGACGGATACTTTACTTTATGATAAACTTGAAAAGAAAAAAAATGTCAAAACAAGAAAAAGAACCAGAATTTAGACTCTAATCATAAAATATAATGTTTATGTCAAATCAAACCAGGACAATTTGTGCATGATGTACAGACCAGCATTTACCACAACAGTAGCTTGTTTATCCTATTATTGCTTTAATGTGAAATAATGTTCATTGATATTTTTACATTTCTAGAGCACATAGTTTATAAGGAGCTAACTGGCAATGTATTTTCAGGTCGACGTGCAGGGAATAATCGTGGAGCAGCAAGCAACTCACAGCACAACTTGTCGTCAAGTGATTCATTCCATAGTGATAGAKGATCACARAGCAATTCTAARGTCCCAACCAGCCAGACATTTAGCCGCAACAGTGGAACTGTTTCTTATATTCCTCATGGATTCTCATATCCTACATATCCATTCAGTAATGAAGAAAGGTAGGCAGTAAAATCACTTCTCAAATGAGTAAGTTCTTTTATAATTCCTTMTCTTTTTTGCACCTGTGAAAGCTCAAGGGGAGAGGGAAAGGGGAAAATGGGAGGAGAGGGGGTCGAGAAAGGATGAAAAAACAAACAATAACCTCCATTTGTCAGGCTYGGTTTTATTTTTCTTTTGTTTAGCTTAGCATTCTGTTGTTTGTCCATTGTTTTCTATACTTATACCTACAAGATTAGTTTTGAATGGTACAAGGCAACCCATGAAGACAATAAAAAAACACTAACAACTTTAATGTGCTATTAATTCGTAGGAATAAAGGAAATCAAAGACACAGGTGACGATAAAAGATCATTGATTTCTACACCTACAACTGACAATGATAGTTGGATCTGATCCAAGGAGTACAACATGATATACAGACCAGACAATATACTTTAAATAATCCCAATTCTGTGTTGAACTATCATGATCCTTAGTGGTTGAATTAGAGTTTAAAGATAATTATATCTAAGATTCAATCTGCACCCAAAAAACATCAGGCTTACATCATAGATGACGTCATCAAGGATTATTAAGGCCAAAAGGCAGATAGTTAAGGCTGATTTACACGGCACGATTATCTCGTGCGATTTGTAGTATACGACTTGAATAGTGCAGTGTAAATGCCCCTACGACTTGCCTACAACAGTCGTACGCAACCTACGACTTGTAGTAGGATTTTGAACCACGGCTTAAAATCCTACGACTTGTAGTAGGAAAATCATATACTACAAGTCGCGCGCGACAAATCGTACCGTGTAAATCAGCCTTTAGAAGTATAATGTGTTATGTCATTAGTAGCTAAGGACAATTTGTCATCAGTTCCTAAACATTGTTGGCTTTATTTATTTATGCTTCATGTCAAGGCAAGTTTTCAAATACCCTAAGTCTCCTATTGTTCTTAGCTTCAATGATTTGACCTTTTTAAACCCAAAGTTTATTAGGTGTACCTATTATAAATTAAATGTTGTTTATTTAGTTAATTTATGGCATTYTCATGCCACCAAACAGTGGCAGAACAAAAAAATCTTCAAATAAGTTATTATGTACAAATGGTATTGTAGATATTGTTGTAAATATATCGTAGGAATGGAGTTAATCATCACATCTTAGCGTTGTAAATACTGGAGTATCTTTTCAATAAAAAAATTCCAAAACTTTACAATGGTATCTTTTATCATGGGCTGAATAGACTTCTGAACCTTTTATGTTCATTCTATTACTTGATTTTCAATGTGTTGTAAGTTGTGGAATCATTTACTATAAAGAAAACAAAGGAATCCGCTAGATGTTTTGTCCCAAACACATCCTACAATGCATTGTGTATGCTGTACATGATGTAAAAGGAATAGAGGTCTATATAAGAGTACTAAAGGTGTAAGGAAAGATGTAATGTGTCTGCGAAATGATAAGTTTCATATTGTATTTAGTCATAGCGACCCTATTGGGATCCCTGTGGACTTTGGTAGGGCTACTACACATCAGGCTAGTATTGAAAAGAGATCACAGCACTGCACATCATGCAATATTTTTCACACACTCTGAATACATAATCTGCACTTAGTAATTAAATCACTTATGACGACGGTTTAGTGACCTCACTAGCACTGCATGTATTCCATTGCAGTTACAAAACCCATGTAGTATCACCTCTGTTGTAGTTTTATTATTTCCTTTATACATCAGGTTGTATTCATGTTACGTCAAGCAACCATGATTGTAATTTTATTTTATATTTTACATTATTTTATTTGTTGGATAACAACTGGATATTTTCCAGAATTGACCAGCAAGCATTATAATTATATACACCAATCCAACCAAATAAATAACAACCAGCTATACAAACACCATCTTTTCAATAAAAAAATTCCAAAACTTTACAATGTTATCTTTTATCATGGGCTGAATAGACTTCTGAACCTTTTATGTTCATTCTACTTGATTTTCAATGCGTTGTAAGTTGTGGAATCATTTACTATAAAGAAAACAAAAGAATCCGCTATGTTTTGTCCCAAACACATCCTACAATGCATTGTGTATGCTGTACATGATGTAAAAGGAATAGAGGTCTATACAAGAGTACTAAAGGTGTAAGGAAAGATGTAATGTGTCTGCGAAATGATAAGTTTCATATTGTATTAGTCATAACGACCCTATTGGGATCCCTGTGGACTTTGGTAGGGCAGGCTAGTATTGAAAAGAGATCACAGCACTGCACATCATGCAATTTTTCACACACTGTGAATGCATAATCTGCACTTAGTAAATCACTTATGACAGTTTAGTGACCTCACTAGCACTGCATGTAATCCATTACAGTTACAAAATCCATGTAGTATCACCTCTGTAGTTTTATTATTTCCTTTATACATAGGTTGTATTCATGTTACATCAAGCAACCATGATTGTAATTTTATTTTATATTTTACATTATTTTATTTGTTGGATAACAACTGGATATTTTCCAGAATTGACCAGCAAGCATTATAATTATATACACCAATCCAACCAAATAAATAACAACCAGCTYTACAAACACCATCAAAACACTTACCAACAAACCTAACATAAACTTACAATCAATATACCATCCTACCAGCCTAACCAATCAATTGTTAAACCCTACCAAACCAACCAACTTACCATGCACTCAACAAAGTCACTCAATCTACCAATCATCACACCAACTGCAAAATACTGTAAACCAACTTGTACCACATGGTACAAAGTTACATTCACCATGAATATACCAACCAATTACTGGTAACCCAATCAACTTACTCATCACAACAACTACCAAACCAACAAACTGGTACACACACAACAAATTCATGATTACCCAACCAATCACTGGTAACCCAATCAACTTACTCATAACAACTACCAAACCAACTAACTGGTACACACACAACAAATTCATGATTACCCAATATACCAACCAATTACTGGTAACCCAATCAACTTACTCATAACAACTACCAAAACCAACTAACTTTACCATATATTCAACAAAGTCATGTGACATGTACAATAAGTGGAAAAACCACAGCAGCTGCGCTAAACCTTGCAGTCCTGGTACTTGCTACAGGAATCCATGTGTCCTTGACTTCATTGTAAGTCTCTACAGTGTTGACAATGGACATGTATTCATTCATACCATTGACAACAAATATCTTGCCACAATTTACAGCAACAGAGACGCCTCCRCTGCACTGCTTAAGGGGTGCAACATGCGTCCACACCTTATCAACAGGATTATAACGCTCAACAGTGTTCAGTGACCCCCTTCGCCCATTGGCTCCTCCTACTGCATACAGAAACCCTGATAATTCCACWGCTCCAAAGTCATATCGACAGCTCAGCATGGAAGGGTCTTCGTACCAGGAGTTGGTCTCTGGTTTGTAGTGTTCCATATGACTGAGGTCYCCTGTTGTGTCGTCAAACCCCCCAATGGCATACATGCATGAGTTTAGGATGGCTAGGGCAAACCTTCTCCTCTGACGATGCATTGTTGCCACTGTCTCCCACCGCCCAGTGGTTGGAGAGTACCTCTCTACATAGCTGTTGGGAGAGAATTGACGTTGATGAGCATTTCAAAATAATAAGAATTGTGATCACAGCTCAGTTCAGTTACCCTGAATATAATACATCCAGGGACGGATCCAGGATTTTCCTCAGGGGAGGGGTGTGGGGCTCTCAGGAGGGGGAGCAACCCACAAAATTCATTACCATGAAGATACAAAATAAGGAAAGTATTGAAGGATACAGATCTCAGGAGGGGGAGTGCACACCCCCTGCACCCCCCAGCACAACTCAATGCAAATAAGATAATGACGAAAAATGACCAAAAACATAAAAGCAGCATTTAAATGAATGAAATCTTGATACAATCGTAATAAAGGAGAGTAGACTGCATTGAGTGCACTATGTGTGAGATTCTGCCAATCTATTTTCCATTAGCTCTATCAGATTTTATAAAATTTTTGATATATAACGCGCGCTCTGATAGGCTGACGACCATGTTTATATCAGAGGACAGAGACATGGCTTACCGGCAAAATGTTCTTTTCGCTCGAAAAATTTTATAAAAGAACATAAAACGGCCGCTTGTGTCTCTGTCCTCTGATATAAACACGGTGGGAGTTGAAAAACACTCGAGAAGCAAGAGAAACACTCGCTACGCTCGTGTTCTTAAGCTTGCTTCTCTCGTGTTTTTCGAACTCCCACCGTGTTTATGTCAGAGAGACACGCGCGCCGTTTTATATTTCTTAAATAAATATTATAGTCTTTTTCACACATTAAATCATTTTTAGCCACATTGTCAGTTGTGATGATTATACAGAATGAAAGTATGAATTTGATGGAAACCATTTGATGATTATACTCACTTGCAAGTGAGAAGCCTATCACTTGACCCTCCAGCYACATAAATATAGTCCCCCAGCACGGCYGCCCTTGTGTCTCCCTGGCATTTGGTAGTTGATGGAAGACTACTCCATGTGTTGTCAATCGGATCATAACACTCCATCAACTTTAATTTYCGACCACGACGATAACCCCCTATAACATACAGTTTATTCTTAAAGGACACAACYGCAAATGATGCCCTGGCTTCAGACATGTCTTTCACAGTCTCCCAATGATTAGTTTCAGTGTTCAAGCGTTCAACTGTTTTTACTTCTTTCATGAACGCCGTTTCTCCCCCCAAAACATACAATGCTTCAGCATAAGAGGTTCTCATTCGCAGACCAGAGCGCTCACCATGGTGCGTCTCAGCTTCCTCAACAATATCCTGACAGAASACATTGTTACGGACAAGAGAATGCTTTGCAATGTCTTGGTGTAGAGTTTTCAAAGGAATAAATGCTAATCGTACKACTTTCAACAGTTCAGACATGAATTTACGCCGTGTATTGAGTTCAAAGTTCACCCATGTGACACAAGCATTAAAAACCTGCTTCTCATTCAAGACTTGAATTCCATCTTTACGTAACAACTCAATAACTTGATTTAAATCCAAGTTTTTGAAATCATCAGTTTCAACGACTTCCAAAAAGTTACTCATAATYCAATAGTTTGCGGCCTCTTTGAGGACTTTCAGACCATGCCTCTCTGCAAGAGTGAGAATTCTTAGACAATTCGAGACTTCGATTTGCCTCATAATAAAGTCAATACAGGCATCTTTTGCTGATTTGAATTCTAGACGATCAGACGCAATGAATAAGCTCTGAACATTAGAATCTGTGATGGTCAGCTTTGAGGTGTAGGCAAAATTAATCAGGACTTCAGTTGAATCTGGATCGACCTCTTTAATCTCAACCTGCACAAAAAAAATGAATGCAACAACAAGTTATAATACTGTATTCCTATTATTTACAAAAAAGTCTATTAAAGGTTACCAGAAATTAGCTGGGTTATGCAGAGATTGATTATCAAAGGAAAAATAGACTGAATACATCCTTTTTAGTGAGCAGCAAGTGACCTGAGATTATACRCCTGGATTTATGAGCAACCATCAAGAAAAACGATTGAAATAGCTATAATTGTTGCCAATCCCTGGACCATTCAAGTGAATTTCCATATTTTAAGAATACTTGCAGACAATTCATCTCCTCCTAAATGCAATGTWGTCATTGAGCATGCTACCATAWAGTACATTTGTACACAAACATCCAAAACAAGACCCAACATTTATGAACTTGATGAAAGGCTGGGCACTAATAATTCTATGATACAATGTATTTTTATTATTTTGGCATCGATTGTAGAACAAATAAATAAAACCATGTGGCAAGAAGAAAAATGAAAATGGGAAAAGAGACTTTCATTTTTATTCATTTATTTATTTTGTGACAATTGAAACAAAATGTCTGAAATGCTAATTCGGGATGGCCCTTTTCACAGAATTAATTTAGAAGAAGTCTATGAAAATAATTAAATGAAGAAATACGCAATGCGAAAGTTACGTAAGATTAAGCTTAAAGTTAATGTGTCTGAATGTTTTCCCAAAAAATATCGTCTCTCAAAAAATGGTTTCCCATCACATTTTTATAAAATCATACTGCTTTCAAAACACATCGAATGACCGCATATAGCCTGATCGATAAACACCTRTGGTTTTCCCATATGCTCTATTATAATTTTGGGGAATATTTTCTACGTCAGGAAATAAAAAAAAAACAAAAAAAACACGTCGTCTTCATATTAAAAAAATGTCTGGTCGAATTTAATTGCAGGGTATTGACGCCAATTTTACTTGTATATAATTTCTGGTATATTGGCGTTTGAAGCAGCCCTTAAAATYCTATTAATTTCATATTTCTACTTACAACTTTCATGTTTTTTTCCGTCATTGGACTTGTAAACAATGCATTGAAATACCGACTTGTCGCGGCCAACACGGCTCGATGTACGACAATCTCTCTTCCCTCGACTAGCAATGTAACATCGCAAAGTTCTTTAAGATCTCTGAGCTCTTGTAGTCGAGAAAGAAGGCTCCCAGCGTGTAAAGTATCAACGAAATGCTCTAATTTTCCGTCCTGATCCTCTCTGTACTCCATGATGTTGTTGTCTGGCATGGCACACCTGTGATGGTCAGCGAATGATATCGCGGGCCTGACACATTTTACTGGGTAGAGGGAGGGGTGGGAAAGAATAATTTACCGTTATTTTATTTCTCCTTAAATATTTCCTTACTAATAAATCAATTAACTTTAAAATCTACAAATCGTTTTTAAATTTATGAATCATTTCTTTTAAATACTAGAAAAAAATACTTTTAAAAAATAATATTTTAAAAAATAATATTTTAAAAAATATATCTATACAAAAATTGGAAATCGTGACCATGTTAGGGTTCGAACTCACTGCCGGCAAATCAAGTCAAAAAATAAAAAAATAAAATATTGGGACGATTCCCCCGAGACATTCTGTGAAGCTGAGGCGGCGAATCGATTTACATTKCMGTTAGAGBTTTCGGCTCTTCCATGCTATCCCGATAATTGGTCCTAACTTCGCGCTAACTAAAAAGCCAGTGAGGGAGAAGCTATCCGGCCCCTAGACACTGATGGATAACCCCTTGCACTAACCAGGCAACTATCGAAAGTATAATGTCAAATTGGGGTAGTCTATTCGGCGAAAGTGCCAAGTGGTCTATTATTATGCAAATGAACGTGGTCCTGTGGCGCGAGTTGTTAAAGCGCCGAGTTCCAATCCATGACCATCGAAGGGGCGRTGGATCAAATCTCTTGTGGGATCGKTCTCAAAGTTTCATCATTCTTTCCGTTTCTTTGTTATTKTGTKTTTGTTAATTTTTTTTCAYCCGTCCTTTTTAAKCTTTGATAACTGCTATTTTTTATCGAATCAGTCTTTTAAACTTTTTTTCATATATTTTTTCGATTTCTCACAATTTATTGTTTGACTACCCACAATCCCTTGTAACGATGAAAACACTCATGACGTCACGGTAATCGACGGAAGAAACTTTGATGGTGGAGGTTGAATACATAACATTCTGACCAAATCGACGCGATTTTGTTCGGTTTTTACCGAGGTTTTTCTTCGATTTCACTCCTAAAAGACCCTAGAGCTACTAAAGATCATGGGAGCCGCTTTAGGAGCGCTTGGGAGCATTGCAAGTTGTGCTTCGTGRGCTTCTTGTGTCAGTAGCCTCGCTCCTGTTGTAAGTGTACCTTTGACAACTAAACATGTTTATTTTGCCGTTTATTTTGTCAATTTCATATTTTTTCCTTTTCCAAGCGGTTTGAAAAGGCTTTTAAATTATTTTTAGGTAAACTAACGATAATATTTAGTTTAATTTTGCACGAAATCTTTAAAAACAGCAACAGATGAACTTCGTAATGAATTCATATGCTTAAGTATGTCGAAGGAAGACAAAGTCCTAGAATTCTTCTGAATAAGCTTAAATATTGTATACAAGACTTACATCGTAATTTTCTTTCGATATTTCAAAAAACAGATACATAAAGTTGTACAAGGTCATCGTAAGTTTAGAATCTTTTTAGTATTTCAGAAGATGTATGTATCATATGATATAAACATTGACAAAACATGCATTATTTTGACAGCAAGCTGGAAATCTATTTTTACTTCATTTCTTTTTGTCGATTGTCGATTTTCAATGAAGTAAAGATATGTTATAAATATCGTTTCCAGCTTTTCCATGACAAAAATTTTTTACATTTTATTTGAAATTATAAAATTATCTCTTTCCAGGCAGCATGTTGCTGTGGTGGTTCTGCATGTTTCTGCTGTTGTGCAKGATGCCCAACTTGCAAGAACTCCACAGCTTCCAGAATTGTCTACACAATTCTTCTGTTCCTTGGCACTGTGGTCTCAGCTGTTATGTTAGCYCCTGGGATACGRGARAAACTTGAACAAATCCCACATTTCTGTGACAACAAATACATACATAACAGTGAAAATGTGTGCAATAGCATGGTTGGGTACCTGGCTGTATATAGGGTGTGCTTTGGAATGGCTGCTTTTTTCTTTCTTATGGCYGTGATGATGTTTAAAGTGACATCAAGCAGAGATCCAAGAGCAAAATTTCAAAATGGGTAAGAAAAAGGAGAAAAAATGAAAGCAAATTATAAATGGGACATGYWCCAKCAGCATCCCTTTCAAGCTTTTTTTACATTTYAAATTCAAAATTCATTGTAATATATCTAAAATCTCTTTAMCTAAAGTCTCTTTYTTATCCCTMTATACTTTATGAATGGAGATTTTGTTGTTGCACTCTACAACACAGACAGATGGAAACAGATTGTTTATAGTGGATTCATGTACATTGTATTTTGTCTCATTTTCTATGAAATTGAATGCTGGTTGATCATGGCATTGAGTCAAAAGAATAGAAAGTTTGTGTACTATTTAATTAAGCTTTTTCATCTTTTTCATCATCACAGCTGTCTGTATATAATTAAATGAAAAATGAAATACCTTGTAAAGGAGAGGGATATCATAAATTGGATAAAAGTTTCYAATATTTACACCCAATTCAGAAGTCAATCTTTTGCCATGTACTAATGTACATGACAGCTGTAGCTCACAAGAAGTTTGTAGTCTTACTCAATTGCCATGATTACAAATTATATTTAGTTCACCAAACTTATTTTAAACAAAATCTACCAAATGAATGTCAATAAATTTCTATAGTAGGAAATGCTCTTAGAAGTTCAGCAATTAGATTACTTGAGAAAACTAATAGAAATGTACAATAAATTAGTAATMTATCAATGTAATTTGTCCCTGTTTACTTTAATACTTGTTTTGTAGATTTTGGTTTGTTAAACTGGCTTTACTCATTGGACTCATGGTTGGTGCYTTTTTCATTCCTAAAGGAGATTTTGGAGAAGGTGAGAGATTTACATAATAATAGAAAAGTGAAGAAATATAAAAAGGAGTAGAGTCCTGGAGAAATGCAAACTTTTGGATCAATGAATACACCGTCAAGCATTATTTGACAACCTAACATTTTACCATTTTGGCAGCTTGTTTCTATCTCTTTGGATGTTGTTGAAGGGGGCAGCAAATATGATGTTTTTGTACTTTTAACTGCACATTGTTGGATTGATTCAGACATTTGGCTTTTCAAAAATTGTTTAACATTCTAACAATTTTGGGTCATCTAATCCAATAGTAATACTAGTATTTTTGGTTTGATCTAGCGCTGTTGATCTGGCATTGCTAAATAGCGCTATATAAATTATTAAATTATTATTATTATTATTAGGCTTGAAACTTTAATGTAGTCTGTCATCTTACAAATGTTTTGTCCTATACAAAATCATCCTACTTGCAGTATTACAAAATCATCCTACTTGCAGTATTACAAAATCATCCTACTTGCAGTATATCAAAAGTTGGCTATTTCCATCTGATCTTTATTATCTCCTTTGTCATGATTTTTGCCGTCCCTATTCATGAATTATTCATAAATGGTATATTTTTTATGACAGCCTGGATGTACATTGGTATGATTGGAGGCTATTTGTTCATCATCCTTCAGCTGATCTTGCTTGTTGACTTTGCTTACAATTGGAGTGAGAAATGGTAAAGAATCGATGTGATCAAAATAATGTGTTTTGAAATAATGCTCAATACTGTATTTTGTTGGACTGAGTAAATTATGTGACTGCATAAATACCTGAAATAATGAATGGATGGAAAGTGAAGGAATGGATGCAGTGCGATGAATAAAGTAGTGAATTTATCAATATTGATTATCTATTAATTGGATGGGCTGCCTGTGGTAATACAAAATGCATTTAATGCAGCAAATTTGTTTTTCACTTGTTATATACCATTGATTTGCCTTTTATTCACAGGGTTGAAAAATATGAAACAACTGGAAATAAGAGATGGTACTGGGGTAAGTGCTATGGAGTATGGAGTTATAAAAAAGATTTCCCTCATAAAAGCCTATCCAGTTGTTACTCATAAGGTTCAAGTATTTCTAAAGACGTCACATCTAGAAAGTGCTTCTGGGATATTCTTCTTATCTGGTTTCTAACGTCATTGCATACTAGATATAATGTATGATGATACACTAGAAAACGTCTTACTTGAGGGGTTACTCTAAAAGATGTTGCAGGTGCAATGGCAAAGCTACCTGTATTATTGCCAAAAAACCTGTTTACATGCATGGGCCTGTCAGTGGTATTTTTTAAGTTCAAAAGTGTATGGATTTCAAGCTTATATTAGATTATGAGGCTAGTTCCTTAATTATTATTGCCTGAAAGTACCCAGTACAAGTCAATGAATATGAAGACGGCATGGCACTAATCCCAACGAGGTCGGAAATTAATTTTTCCGAATTTATTCCTAAGGGACTTCTCCCAGAATTGCCTCCTTCTAAGCACTATAACTTTCTTTCATCTCTATATCCAGTACAAGTCATGTAGTTGTTTTTATATGCACAAAGGTCTATAGCTGATATTTTTCTTTGCAGGTCTTGTGATTGGAACAAGTGGAATGTATATTATCTCTGTTGTTGGTGTTGTATGTTTCTTTTTCTTTTATACAACAGTAAGTARGACAGCTGCTAAAAGATAAGATTAATTGTCATGTACCAATTACATGTAATAGTCTCCTTCATTGCTTGACCTACGCCATCTTGAAATGAAAGGTACATGTAGCTGTGCCTTTGCATCGAAGCAAAATGACCATTGAGTGTGCAATATGTTTTATTTATAATTTTAAAGAAAAATATTGCACATACATGTACTTTGAGACACCCACTGACAGAAAGCAATATTGATGAGGAGCTGACATTTGTTTTTCTACAAACAATAACGACTAATATTATAAGCTTGTTTTATATCATGATTGAACTCTTAAAATGTTGTTTTTAAAAATCTTAATATTTACTTTAATTGTTCTTCTCACATGGAAGTAGCCTGATTTTCAGACAGGGCCTGGGTCCTACGCTTAGGACTCAGGCCCTGTCTGAAAATCAGGCTAAGGAGGGCTTCATTCACACCTACAGACAATATTATTCATGGCATCTATCATTGCACGCTCAACGGTTGTCTCGCTTCAATGTAAAGGTACAGCTACCTTTCAAGATGCAACAGGGAACTGAGAGGAGATTATTGAACAGTGTGCTCATAAACTATCATTGTACATGATTGTATAAACTATGTAATTTTGTGTTGTTTAGCCTGATGGTTGCAAGACTAACAAGTTCTTTATCAGTTTCAATCTCTGCTTGTGTATTGTAATTTCAATACTTGCCATCATTCCTAAAGTACAGGAAGGTAAGGTGTTATTGGATCAGTCAATGCTGTTCTTCTAAAAGAAGTGCGCTGTACTGGGCATAAAAAATCCTCAGACATTGCATTCTATTTTATTATTTACAGCTCAACCAAGTTCAGGTCTTCTTCAAGCAGCCATGATAACACTGTACACCGTGTACCTGACATGGTCAGCAATGTCCAATGAACCAGGTGATACAACATACTGACCATAAATACAATAGTCTTTTGTCTTTCTATGCTCTAATCATCATCATCATTATAACTCTTCGCGCCAGTAGGCGCATAAGGCCTTCACCCCCTCTTTCCATCCATCTCTATCTCTTGCTGCCATTTTGGCTTCATTCCAAGTCTTCCATCCTGCGTTGTCCCTTTCTTTCAGTACCGTTCTTCTCCAAGTAGTCTTTGGTCTTCCCCTTGCTGTTCTTTCTTCCGGTGTCTATTCTAGAGCTATCAAACAGTCACTTTCACTTTCCCCTCTGAGGATATGACAGATCCAATTCCATCTTCTACTTGGAAAATCAATAAGGAAGATGAAAAGAAACTAAATAGTTTTCAAAGCAAATGTCTAAGATATATTTTGAGGATAAGATGGTGGGAGAAGGTCACAAACGATAAGGTCAGAGAATTGGCAGAAGTAGAAAAGCTCAGTAAGGAAATTAGGCGTAGAAGATGGAATGCTCTAATGAAAGACTAATAATAGGGTAGGCTTTAACATCTCGGAAGATGTATTCCAAATAGGCTTGCTCAAAACAAAAGAAAAAAACAAAAGACAAAAAGTGTAATTGTTATATTTTTAAGAATGACACCTACAATGCTTCTTGTGAGTGAGGTGAAGTCCTACAACAATATTCCAAATATTAGACCATTTTAACAATATTTACCTTGTAGAGTAGGCTATGAAATTTCAGGATTCCCCCATCTTGAATTGGGTCAATAGGCAATTTCGTTTCAATGGTCTAATGACCTCTATAATTTATAAACAGAAACATTTTGATGTTAAAAGAGTGCCATAAATACATGCGTCTTTTCTTATATTTGACAGATGCATTGTGTAATCCCAGTGGTTCTTTGTTTACTGACAGTAGTAAACACCCCACACCCACAATGAACGTCCATACTATAATGGCAGCCATAATCATGTTTGTCATGGTGGTGTACTCTTGGTAGGTATTCATTGTTACTGGATTACCTGTGTAATCTACCACAGGGAACCCAACAACAACAAAAAGTTGCCTCAAGAAATAAGCTGTGCCTAAGGACAGGGGGGTGGTCTGGTGCTCAGCCTGTGTATTTACGACACTTGTGTTAATTTGCGCTGATTGGCTGATTAGAGTGTTAATAAGATGACATGCACACTGCTGAAACTATCACGTCTGCCGTGTGTTCATTTGAAAGAAAAGAATGATTTTCCCTAATTTTTAGGCTTAAAATATTGATAATGTTTCTATCTAAATTCAGTCTTAGAACAAGCAGCTCCTCTCAATTGGGCAGTATTGGTATGAGTACAAGCAACAATAGTATGGAGGTGAGTCCAGAAAAATGAATTTTGCCCTAACTTGAATGTTCAAATATAAGAGATTTGTAGATCCATCAATCAATCCATCATCAGGAAATTATTAAAGCAATACAAATATATTAGACGAAAATGCAATTACAGCAAGCACATCACACACGAGCTACTGCAGGTAATAATTGCGGACCCTAGGTATCCCTGGTTATCAGTCGTCTCTGCCCTATACCCCTTCGAGAGCCAGATACTCCTAGACCCTAGGCAAATCTCTTATATTTGAATTATGAATCTTACATACAGATAAATCTTAAATGTTTAAAGTTATTTAATAAACATTACAAGAACCACTTAATATACAAAGGAATTATGAACTTATTGATTTTCTCTTTCTTTATTAGGAAACTTTGCTTCCTGACTACAACCAAGGTACAAAACAAAATCAGTCAAATTGATGATCAAAAATGTTTAATATACATTAAGATAAATTTTACACTGTAATTAGTATGAGAAAAGACTTACTGATGTTTGGGACGTTACCTGTAGTTCTTCATTGCAGGAAGGGGACTAATGTCCTAAACGTCAGTAAGTTAGTTTTCACACTTTTTACAGTGTTAAAATATATCTTATACTTTTTCTTTAGAAATACCATATGGCAGCTTACACTAGTTTACGGCTAGTTTTCATCATAAAAACACATTAATTGTTGAGATTTACAGTATTAGATGCTGCCCATTTTTGATATTCTAGTAAATCATTGTCCATGTAATAATTTAGTTGTTTTTCTGAATGAGACCCATTCTAATTTGATTTCTCTTTTTTCTATTTCTCTGATGCTATATTTTTGAACCTTAAAAAGGGGAGCAGCAAGGCACCCTAATCACCCTTCTAGATCCACCCTTAATTTCTTGTTGGAATATTTGTAGATGCTGAAGTAAAGACTGGTGATGATGACAAACCAAAGCACCAAAAAGTGTATGACGATGAAAGCACTGCTGTCAACTACAACTATTCATTTTTCCACGCCACATTCTTCCTGGCATCACTGTACATCATGATGACACTCACTAACTGGTATAGGTACGTTGAACAATCATTTCCTGGAAATGGTATATTTATGTATGTTATGTTAACAATTTATTTTATGGAAATATTGTATTTATGTTATGCTATATTAACAATTCATTTCCTGGAAATGGTGTCTTCATGTTACTTTATGTTTACAATTCATTTCTTGGAAATGGTGAATTTATGTTGTGTTATGTTAACAATTCATTTCCTGGAAATGGTGTATTTGTGTTATGTTATATTAATAATTCATTTCCTGGAAAGGGTAAATTATGTTATGTTTACAATTCATTTCTTGGAAATGGCATGTTTATGTTATATTAACAATTCTCTTTTTGAATGTTCAGTCCCCAGGGATCTGACTTCAGTAAGCTTACCAGTAACTGGGCAACAGTGTGGGTGAAGATCAGTTCAAGCTGGGTTTGCATTGCTCTCTATATATGGACCCTGATTGCTCCTGTCGTGTTCCCAGACCGTGAATTTAGTCGCTAAGTATGCAGTGTAACCATCAATAAAAAAAACTCTACTAGAAATGCTACTCGGTTCTGTAATATAATAAATTGGTAACAGAACATTCTCTACTCCTGCACAAAAAGGTCAATGAAGAAACCTACTAAACAATTTTGATATCTTTGTTCAGTTATCTACAATCATGAGAACTTTTTTTTACCAGAAAACAGCATTTTTTAAAACGTAAGACTTGCAGCCACGTGCAGATGTGATGCAAAAGTGATGCAAAAGACTCTACACTTTGATTTGATTCTATAGTTATTTTTGTGCAAAAGTTGAGACTGTTCTTGTAGTCAATTAGAATAAAAGCATGCAGGCACACTTGCAATTTTGTTTTTAGACTATGCTGCATCGGAGGATTGGTAACGATTTCAGCCATAAGAGAGTTAGGCCTGGGGCAACGTCGTGATACAGTTGAGCTGAATTTAATTATTTGAATTATGTTCATGTAAAATATGTCGTTAAAGTTTGACTGAACAATTTTGTACGATGTCTGGCTACATGTATTAAGCATGACTTCTTTAGGGGTACCACGCAAGAATTTAATACACTCAGGACGTTTGAACTGATCTACTGAACTACTAAGTCAATTGGGCCCATCTAAATTGGACGCAATGAAATGCGGCGTGTGACTCAGGCCTAACAGAGTCATTATGGAGGAGGGTACGTTAAATTCAATAAGCTGAAGTTCTGGTGAATAACATTAGATAAAAACGGGAACCAATCACTGCTGCAGTTTTTTAATATTACTTTCTTAACACTCGCACTACACTAGCTTTAGCTGTGAAAAAAAGATATTAATATGGTCCCACTGGTTCTATTTAGACCCAAAACAATTGCGCGGACAGTGAAAGACTGTGAGACGACTTTGCAGACTAGAGTGGTTTTCATAAACCCGTGAAACAATAGTCAGATGACAAAAAAAGAAAATGGTATTAGGGTGTACTAAAGTGTATTTCACGGGTTTATGAAAACCACTCTACTGTTCCTGTAAATAATTGCTTGAATCRTCTCTAAAGTTTAATATCTGAGTTTGGTCCATAATTATTCATTTCATGCCAAGTCAGGATTGTTGAACTTTAAATCTAAACTGGCATCATTCCAAATTCAGATAAGTGTACATTTTATTGAAATAGAGTTTAAGATCGTAAAAAACTCATTTTTACAGATTCCKGTGCCTTCTTGAAAATGTTTTACTGCTTGTTCAAAATCTCTCGTACAACGGASTGACTCGCGCTACGTGTTCGACCATCGCTCTACGCGCTCAGTAGATTCTCACTATTCACCATTCCTAGGAGTAAGCTAGCGAGAGTCCGATACTTGGGAAAGTCTAGTTCAAAGTGAATTGTAATTTTAGTGTTAGATTTCTATCTTTGCAAACTCCACACTCATTTTGATATACTTTTCAAGCTGGCGCCGAGGACCGTAYAAATGAGTATTGTCTTTACTATTGCACAGCTATTTTTAAAAATGGTAACCACTGCCATTTCGTTATCGTTTCACACTTGTGCTTTAATTTTTGTTTATATATAATAATTTGTAAAGTTTGATTCAGAATTAAACGACAATAAGCCATTGTTCTCTGAGTGTTTTTTTGGTGATCCACTTTTTMGGGAGGGTCTGAATCAGGGGTGCGACCAGTTTAGTGGATGAAAGGGGGATGCGCACTGGACTCTATAAGACGTTGTAACCATTTTGCTGACGCCTTGAGAAAATCCTTGATCTGGGTTCCCCCCGGATTCGATGAGTTAAACTGACCAGCAACTCAAGAGCTATGTTGCGTGCACAGGGAGACCAAGCAAAAGATAACCTTGAATCTTCAATACTTAGCAATACTTAAGGCACGTTTACACTTGCAATTTTTGAAGCGCGATTGTCGCGCGACAATTAATCGTTTGAGTTTCGAACATGCTTGAAATTTAGGTGCAACTCGCAGCGATTTTCGATCGCCGCGACAATCGCAAAGCGCTGTTTACACGTACGATTTGAGGTGCGCGAGAATCGCGCTGCAAAAATCGCAAGTGTAAACGGGCCTTTAAAAATAAAATTTTATTTAACGTTATTAAGCACCAGTTTGAATAGGAAGATATGTACAAATTTGTAACGAACTCATAAAACTCATTCTTGAAAGTGCCATAAGAAATGCATGAGACGAAAGTAGTTTTACCTTTAATTTGCGACCATAGATGGAGGCAATTTAATGATCAGTCAAAATGATGGAAACTATAGCGGTATAGTAGWATAAGCTGCGTCGGTGTTTCTACTGTTGTGAAACAAGATGAATTTCAATACCGTATTACAAAGTTGGTTAAATAACTTACTGACCTAACGATCGGACGTTAATCCTTTTCTTAAAGGGTAGTACTTGGACGAAAATTGAGAAAAATTAGAAAAGACTTGGAAATCAAATAGACTTATCCATATGGGTCTATTAATCATGAAGCAACAGATTTCAACAAGATATTGATACAAATCCTTAATAATTTGGGCAAAAAATGTTCGAATAAATGACGTCATTAGTCCATCCTTTTGTTCTTCCATCTTTTGAATCAAAATTTCTCTGCTGTGGGACAATTCCAAAACAAATATTTTTTTCGCAATTGTTTGTAATAGATATAAATGAGTCATATATTTGTGTTGCTTGAAGTTTTGAAATAAGGGCATTTTCATGGAAGTACTAGCACTTTAAATGGACGATTAACGTCTGAAACATCGGTTAGGTATTTCACCTACCTTTTTACTGTGTTATCCTATTTTAATCGGTTATTCAAGCTGTCTTCATGATTCTCTTGCGTTTTTGTTGACTAAGCAAATTAGGGATTTGACGTCATATTTGCGTAGCAATTACGTCATAGTAGATTAAATAAATAATAATATAAGCTTATTACCCTGCGAGCAGAGTGTATTTCCTTTTTATTGAGGTAAGGATATACGCTCTGCTCGCAGGGTATAAGCTTATAAAAGCGGTTATATAACTCATTCTAAGCGCAAATAAAAAAGGTAAAAATTAAGATAAAGAAAGTTACAATAGAGTTACAGATCATAAGTTTGTTTAAAAAGGAAGGTTTTAAGAGCAGTTTTAAAATTGTCAAGTGAAGAAATGTCTSMGATTGAAGATGGCAGTGAATTCCATAGAAAAGGTCCAGCAACACTAAAAGAACGAWAACCATAACTTTTAAGATTGTAAGACTTGGAAGACAGTACCAGTTGAGAAGACGAACGAAGGCAACGAGAAGGAGGATATTTTTCAAGCATGTCTTGAACATAGGAGCCAGAAGGAGATAAATTTTAAACTTGTCACGTGCGGAGACAGGAAGCCAGTAAAGATCGATAAGTAGAGGTGTGAAAAAGGTACAACCAATGACTATAGTCCTATGAGAGAGCCTATAGTAGCAATCATTAATCCTGGCCGGATACTCCCCCGAATCTACTGAATAGACAACTGATTAATTTACTABCTTGTGTTTTCCTACGGCTACGAGAACCTCAACATGGTCCAAATAATCTGCTTCACAACGGCTTAAGTTTCTTTGGGAAACTTTATATTAATCTTTGAGACGCTCGCTTTCAGAAATACCTGTTATAGTGGAGTTTCAATCTCTAATTCGACTCCGGCATGCTCTGGGACGTGATCTCTATGCACTTGAACTATAGTTTCGTTTATGCCATTCCTGAATTTTGTCCTCCGCGGAGGCGATAAGTAGTCCATTTCTACTGCCTCCCCGTCGAAGTTCTTCTTTTCTGGTTCAATTGGATGTTCAGGGACGGGATCTCTGTGAACCTGAAATAGAATACTTCCTTGACGAGGAGGTAAGCAAGTCTTTTCTTTAGACTCTCCCTCGTTTTTGAGCTGAGACGAGTTAGAGTTTGGTCCGCGAGGGAAAATCCAGTCTTCCGGGGTTATTTCCTTTGCTGTTTGTAAAGTGTTTTTAATCGTCTTTTCTCGTTCATTGAAATATCGAGAATGAATCATTTTTGCTGAAATAGTCAGCTTTGAAGATGTTTTATATCTCCGACTTGTTTGAAGATCGCTTAAAGGTCTGGCAACGTTTTCTTCGTTTGCGTTGATCGGTTTCCGTTCTTCTCTTTGTTTCTCCATTTTCATGTATAAAGCAAAAATTGGCATCACCAAAGCTGGGAAATATGGAGGGAATATAACAAAAGTTTTTCTTAAAACAAAATAAAGTGTMGACCAGCTTGTTAATGATGTTTTGTGAATTATATAAAATATGATGAACGGTAAAAAKGGTGCAGTCGACATGACAATCATCAGTCTTGCAAAATTAGCATTCGTTCTTTTTAGTCTTTTGTTGAATTCAAATTTGCTTGTTTGAGGAAATCTTAGTATCTTGAAATTCAAATAGAATACAGAGATATTTGGAAGCAAGTAGAATAAAATGAAATCGATTCCAAACAAAATTTTCGAAGAGGTGCTTGCTGTYTCAATCGAACATGTAAAACTYTACGAATGAGAATTGAATGAGACGGTATCAAAAGAAAATAAGAACGCGGATATCCATAGTCCTCTGAGTCCACCCAAAGCCCAGGCCGTGCTTGTCAATGTAATGATAGTTCTTCTGGAAGAGACTTTATGAGGATAGAAGACGGCTGCGAATCTTMCCGCTGCCATGACATAGATATTGTGTGAAATGATACATGGTCCCACAACACTCACATAACGGATTACCTTGCAGGACAAGACATTGGTGAAAGTTCTCACTAGTGGATTTAGAATGAAAACAGGATAGCAAACAGACAGTGCAAAGATATTAGCRAAAGTMACACTTTTATGTAGGGTYCATTGYTTTCGAATTCGATTCAGTGTTCCAGTAATTTGCTTTTTCGCAATAGATTCCATTTTTTGATTAAGCCATAGTACCATGATATTAGTTACGATTCCAACAAGACAGAGAACTACTTCAATTGATGCAATAACAATCTTCGCCGCATCGCTGTACTGATTCAAAACATACCTCTTGTCTACTGTCGAATTGTTAATTGATTGATTTGTTWGGTAAGCCATGATTGGTAAACGTAAGACTTGATTCTTATAACTGACTGAGAAAATTATACGGTCTTTCTAAGGAACAGGCACTGAGAACTAGATTGATTTGTGTCGTCGCAGGACAGCTAGCTTGTAAGTAAAGGAAGAGCATTTATTTGTTTGTTAATTTTGAATGAATAGCCTTTTTTTRAAGTTACCCATTTTTTACTAACAGATGCACCTGCGGAGTTAWCACAAAGAGGTATACTTCCTCTGTGCAAATGAAGAAAAACAATAAACATTGATACATATTTTAGATTTTAATTGGTAATTGAGGGTCGCTTAATCCTACATGGCGAATGTCAATAGGCAATTTACTAGGACGCCATTTTGTGCAGCAAAGCATGATGGCAGCTGTAGTCATCGCACCTCTAATAGTCTGAAAATTAACATAAAAAATGTTGCCCGACCACCATGCATGCACTTTAATTTCCTCGATGTTTTAATTATTACATCTGATCTGACATGTCTTGAAGGTCGATCTGGCACAGCCTCTGCCCTCTGCTAGCCTGCAGCCGTCCTACTCTGAATAACTGTGATCTACCTTTGCCAATTTGAAAAACGGATATTGAGGAGCAAGTCCATATTGTATGCATTTATGCACTGTGCAATAATTACTAGGAGGGGGGCGTAAAACCAGATTTCTCAAGCAGAAAAATTAGCCAGAAGCCCCCTCCGAAGCATAAGAAAATCAGCTCTTAGCCCCCCCTGCTATAATAGAAATAACATCGGACACCCCCACAACTGTTATAAGACAAAATTAGTAAATTAATATATTCATGAACGTTTTCTAGTAAGTTATTCCCTAGGTCACCATTAAGTTCCACACCTGCGTTCTTGTGTTAATAGAACTTATATTTATTTTGACATAATCTTGATTAGATATAAAATATGACATCTGTTTCATAGACATCGTTTCGTTTAGCAGTTTAACGTTTACTAGTATTCCAATACATTTATCTCGAACATAACTTAGGTTACTATTTTCATAGGTTTTCTACACTGTCTTGCTTAGCGTTGTGTACCCCTAACTAAGCTAAAGTCTAGTTACAGCTTGTGACTCTTTAGTTGTCACTTCCATTTAATCCCTCTTTTTAATTTCGAATATTCCATTAAGCTGTCAGTAGGAACTATAAGTATGACAGTATAACGAGACTACAAGACACCTTATTTCAGTTTCCACATTTTCATCTAGATATCCCCACGTGTCTTATAGCACTGTAATATTACACCAATTTCAGATAGACTCCACCCTTGTAACCCTACATTTTATTTCATCAAAACCGGTTAAAGTTTCTTTTTATATTTAGTTTATTTCATTTTCATTTGTTTCAATGTTTAAAAAAGGATAAAAAAAGAAGAAGAAGAAGAAAAACAAAAACAAAAAAAAAAAAAAAACAAGAAGAAGAAGAAGAAGAAGAAGAAAAAAAAGACTGTCCATGCTGCACTTGCACTCGAACCCTTGTCTAGAAAATCGAAAAAGGTTGGGACGATTCCCCCGAGACATTCTGTGAAGCTGAGGCGGCGAATCGATTTACATTCCGGTTAGAGATTTCGGCTCTTCCATGCTATCCCGATAATTGGTCCTAACTTCGCGCTAACTAAAAAGCCAGTGAGGGAGAAGCTATCCGGCKCCTAGACTCTGATGGATAACCCCTTGCACTAACRAGMCAACTATCGAAAGTATAATGTCAAATTGGGGTAGTCTATTCGGCGAAAGTGTCAAGTGGTCTATTATTATGTAAATGAGTGTGGTCCAGTGGCGTACTCTGTTAAGGCGCTGGTTTTCAACCAAAAGAACCGGGATGGACCAGGGTCAATTCGCGCGAATTCAGCACGTTCAGTTATACCGCCCACATTTACTTCAAATTTATAATAATTTTTTTTGTATTATTATTATTTTTTTACAGGCAATCTCTTAATTTTTTTGCCATTATTATTATTTTATTCAATAATCAAACTTTTTTAATAAATTGATCAAAATATCTCTAATTATTATCCTATAAAGTTATATCAAGCAATATTATTGGCTACACTAGCAATCGGACTAACCAATGAGAAGCCATGTTATGTTTCTCAACCTGGAGAACAACAAAATGGCGATTGTTTGTGGACCAGTCTCGAAGGAAGCAATAATCATGTTCTCTTTTTCGCGTGAATTAATGTCTAACAGGATTTGCTGGGGAGTTACAACCTCACTATAAGATGGCAGTAAGTTGTAAATTATAAAAAGTTAGACATATTACTGTAATTGTTGATATGTTTTACGAAAGTTGTCCTGTTCGCGAACTAACCTGCGAACGAACGAAAGATTGGTTTTCGTATCAAGACCTTGTCTTGTTTCATGCAGTAGTTAATATTATAAGAGTTTGCTGTTCTGGGTATTGTATTATTTTATTTTCTCCATGACGACTCGACAATATAGATGTCTCCAGACTGTCCTCAAGGCAGATGTTATTATTGCTCAGTGGGTGTTTCATCTAAGCTTTATGCAAATGCTCGCAAAAAAGCTTCAAAGTTTACAAAAGAGAAAACTTAACAAATGCATTGATAATTTTTATTATATGGAAATACAAACCCTTATTTTTTTCAAATTTTTGGCATCATATATTTCAATTGATTTAATTGCCATGTACGTACCATCAGCTACTAGATTCTTATCTATATAAGAAGTTCTTCAGAGTTCTCTACCTTTAATGTTTATCAGACCTAAGTACATAGCAAGGTTGTTATTTATTCGTATGATAACAAATTCCAACATATCCCCTTCATAGCAATTAAAAACACAAGTACTTAGTTTCCCTAAGATTACCAAGAGACGTTTTTTGCCAGACTTTCAAAAAATAGAAGGTTCTTAATTGGGTGTCATGTTTACTATATTTAAGAAATATAAAACGGCGCGCGTGTCTCTGTCCTCTGCTCGAGAAGCAAGAGAAACACTTGCCACGCTCGTGTTCCTAAGCTTGCTTCTCTCGTGTTTTTCGAACTCCCACGGACCGTGTTTATATCAGAGGACAGAGACACAAGCGGCCGTTTATATTTCTTTTATAAAATTTTTCGAGCGAAAATAAAATTTTGCTGGCAAGCCGTGTCTCTGTCCTCTGATATAAACACGGTCGTCAGCCAATCAGAGCGCGCGTTATATATCAAAAATTTTATAATTGTACATATGACTCAGATACTGGGTGCTGCAGTATCATCTCCAACCAGAACCCTTGATTTTCTGTTAGGAAGCTGAGAAGGATATGTGAAAGAGTGTAGCTTGATGTTAACTTTTCCTGACTCAGGTCGCTGAAATCATTGTTATTACCAATAGCTATATATTAAAAACATGATGATTTATGGTGGTTATATAGCTTCACCCCGATACTGAGGTCGGCTTGTCGACTCAGACTCCCTTATATAAAAGGGAAGAGGTCCTCGTCAGAAATTCTGAGAATGACCGCTAAAAGGGACCTGTATTGTGAGATGATCGGTGTGACAGTGCTGAAATTTCACCCCTAAGAGGGACCAATCAATAACCGGTCTTTTTGTTTTGGTTTCCCAATTTTATTTGATGTGTTTTTGCAAAAGCATCAAACGCTGTCGGCTTGTATTGACATCAATCATATAATTAGCCTCTCATCCCCCTGGGTCTACAGTATAACTGCTTGTATATACTATTCCTACTATGCCAGGCCTTTTAATTTAAAAATTATAAGACATTCAAAACTGCATATGAAGCCAGCTATTGCCCTATTTCATTATGATGTTACAGTATGCTCACACCAGAGAAAGGTGCTCAAAAATCGTGGGTTATATTCTCTCTTAATTTAAGTAGAACTTCAATGTTCATGTGAATTAATTAATAAACCATTGTAATTATTAACCATTATAATTATTATTACATGTATTTCATCCAGCAGAAATTGTTCATGTACAAATGAATTTGATATGCAGTCACTCTGATCCCCTCTGGCAACCATAATCCTTAGCGTTAAAACATTATAATGTTTTGATATGACCCTGTAATGAAATATGGCAAGTGTAATATGCATGTTATCTATTGTTTGAACTGTTTTCTTATTTGTTATTTTTATTAATATGATAAATAGAATCAAGAACTACAACAAGAGTTAGAGTCTTTTAGACTGAAGTGGAAAGAAGAACTAACATCTAACAGTGACAATTCTTCCAATAACCAAAGAGAGAAAGTAGAGAGAGAGAGTTGTTATCCACATGGCTGTCAACTCTCTGAAGCTAAATATGATGTAGCTGAAACAAGTACTTCTCAGACAGCAGATCTTGGTTTGGGTTCTAGCTGCTTGAGCTCAAGGGAGGACACAGGACATGATATAGAGGAGGAATATTTCACTATTGAAGAGAAAGTATAAATAACAATAATATTACATTTTGTGTCTAGAATATTTAGATCACTCACTTAATACATAGCAAAAACTGCAAATCTATTTTGCAAGTTGTTTCACTGTCCTGTTTCACATCTACAGTAATATTTCATTTCAAGGCAGGACAAGTAATTAGCACTGTTATCAATCAAGTAGAGTAATAGACCTCTGAAGCTTTTACGTCATGTACCGTATACGCAATGCATTGTAGGATATGTTTGGGACGAAACATGGCGGATTTCTTTTGTTTTCTCTAGGAACTGATCCCACAATGCATTGAAAATCAAGTAGTGACGTAAAAGGTTCAGAAGTCTATTTGTACTGGTATATTTGTAATGGAAGCTGTTTTGATTGATCAGCAGTCTATTGTTAAATGATCATCCTTGTGAACTAGGTGTAATCTTATGTGGTTGCTCATTGCTTGCCCCCAGAAATAATGTCCCTGGGCACAAAGTCTGTTGGAGCTTGCTCCTGATTTGAAATTCAAAGTAGTGGCCAAAAATTAATCAAACAATCTAAGTATTTGACTTTGAGTGAACCCTTTGAGTCCTCTGATTGGTTGATCAATCACCCAGTGGAATTATTTCTTGGAGCAAAGAAAAAGTGATAGAAGATTATCTCTGGGCTCCTGAGGATGATTGTTTATTGGAGGATATTGTGACTTTCATCTGGGCTTTGTTGCTTAGTTACAGCAAGTGACACACATTGATATTGTAATATCGTGATGCACCCCACCCCTGTAGGGGATTATTGTTGTTAAGAAAGGTGCATTTTGGCATGTGATGGCTGTGCTGAATCAAAAGTAAAGGTTGTTTATCAGTTTTATTGTGTGGTTGTGTTTAAGTTCTTGCTGCTTTCTCAGCATATTATTACAATATACTACATCCTAGTTGTCATCTCTTTCAAGACATGTTTTTCTAGCACCTATTAAATAGATATATTTGTTTTTAGGCTGAGAAGTTTTATTTGAAAGGAGTTGCATCAGAAAAGAATGGGTTTGTTTATGAAGGTAAACTATTGAAAGTTGTTTCTAATTCCAAATAGAAATCATTTACTAAAATATTTATAATATAATATCTTATGTCATAATCTGTCATCCTTCGGTTATTAAAATGTATTCCCACCAATTTATCAATCCATCCATTCCATTTTGTGTTGTCCATTTTATTCATCCATTCTTTCATTTAAATTTGCACTTTCATTCATTTATTCATGTATGTATTAACTATTAATTTGTCCTTCTATCCAAATTTCATTATGAATCCTTTCCAGTGTCCAATTCCATCCACCCATTCATAATTATCCTTCTATTTGTTCATTTGTTCATCTATTTATCCTGTAATTCTTAACCTGCTCTTTCACTTTTCAATCATAATTCCTGCTATCTTTTCCAGCAATGCTGTACTACAGAAAAGCTGTCCAGTTAGTGCCTGACATTGAGTCCAGGATCAAAGACTTCTCGGTCTCCTCAGGTTTGTGTACCAGTATGGCTATCAAACTTTCTCTTGAAACTTTTCTTTAGGGACTAGAATGTAGATTTATAAGACTTAATTCCATTATAAATTTGACTCACAAGTACATGTAACTTAGCACTATCAACCACAGTGAACACATCCAGACAAAACTCTGAACAGCTTCCAAAATCCTATCTGGATGTTTTCTATAAACTTCATTGTTACTTGCATTTTGAATTTTTTTTTTTCTTTCAGATGAAGAGGAAGATGATCAAGAAGAGCACAATGAGTACAATCTGCAAGCTACTATTGACAAGTTAGTAACAGTATTTTAATCAATTCCTGATCTTTTTAAAGTAGATGAACTTGGTCTTAACTGGTCACCCCATGTAAGAGAATTCAGTGAACTAGAGGATTCCGGATTCCAAGCCTTGGGATTCCGGATTCCAAAGAATTTTTGTTTTTGATTCCGGATAATAAATGGCATTATGATTTTCAGTGCTTTTTTTCCTGAAAATTTTATATTCAGCGTGTCAGTAGCCTAGCGGGGTAGCGCGTCACTAATTTGCACTGTCTCCAATATTTGTCGCACGCTGACGAACAAACTACCTATATGACGTACAGTAAAGTTCAGCATATCAGTTGGATGTACGTTCCCATCTCTAGACAGCTAGATTTTCACCGATAAAAACAATCTTCCTAACTATCCAGATTCTGGATTCCAAATATTTGGATTCCGGATTCCAGTATAGCGATTCCGGATTCTCTTACATGGGGCGAGACTGGGGAAGGGAGACCCTGTACTCTTCCCTTGGCGTCACTCCTCTCCAGACCATTCCCAAAACTAACTCATAACCATCATGGTAGCAAAAAATGTGTTTTCAAACTAAATGCAGAAAATATTGAAATAAAATTATTGAATATTATAAAATCAAAATTTAAATTACTGTTACTAATTCTAAATTTTATTATTTTGCATTAATCTAGCCGAGTTCCAGAGATCTCTGCACTTGTTGATCAGTTTCAGACGTTGGCTCTTGATGGTAAACATGTTTGTCAGAAGGAGTTTGAGACAAGGGTGAGTTTGATGACCATAACCTTCAACTTCACTTTCGAAGAACTATTATATGATATAGAGCTCTATTTCAAAAAGTGTAGAGTAAAAACTGGTACAGGTAATAAATACGATATAGAGCTCTATTTCAAAAAGTGTCGAGTAAAAACTGGACGTACAGAATTAGCACATTCAGAAAAGATTGATTGATTGAAAAGATTGATTGATTGAAGTACGTCGACGATGTTACCATGTCTGAATCTCTCGGAAAACACCAACCAAGTAGTATACAAGAAGCAGTTCAAGACCTTATAACATGGTCCGAAGTCAATAAATTCCAAGTAAATGAGCAAAAATGCAAAGAACTGTGTATCACATTCAGTAAACGTATGCGCTCTTTCGAGCCTATCATTGCTAACAACTCCGACATCAGCAAGGTTGAAAATGCAAAATTACTTGGCATTACTATAAGTAATGATCTAAAATGGAATGCTCATATTCACGAAATCATCTGCAAAGTTTCAACAAGATTGTACTTCCTACGACAACTAAAACGATCTAATTTGGATTCAAAAGACCTACTGCTATTTTATATTACTTGCATTCGCCCAGTAACTGAATARGCATGCCAGGTTTTTCACAATGCTCTTCCAAAATACCTATGCGAAGACCTCGAAAGACTACAGAAACGCGRCTTGCGTATAATCTARCCTGGAATACATTACCCACAAGCACTAGCAGAGTCAGGCCTACCAACTCTGGAATTTAGACGTCAGCAACTGACAGAAAACTTATTCAAAGAAATTGTCGCTGATATCAATCACAACCTACACCATCTCCTACCAGAACAAACCAATAATAATAATTATGCATTAAGGAAAAAGCACATCTTTCAGCCTAAGTTCAAAACTAATCGTTCTAAAAATAGTTTTATAAACACCAATAGTTTGACCTTCAATTTTTAACTATCCCTGTACATATATAATTTAATATATAGAATTTTTATGATAATTTTGAATTGTTTTTGTAAGCGATAACATAATTCAGCCCTGTGGCTGCTAGTTTTATTTGCATTAAAGTATCTATCTATCTATCTATCTATCCAAGATTACTAATTACTCTCTTTTTAATTGGATTCAACATAAGTGGCTTTTCTAAAATGCCAATTCGAAACTTAATAAAATTAAGTTGCTTTCCATCAAAGATGCAGAGCTGGCTAAGTCACTCTACTGAAACACTGAAAACTGCTTTATCTAAAGTGGTGACACAACAACCAACAATGCATTTTGACATTGGAATACACTATCTTGAAGAGCAGAGCAAAGCTTGTCAGTGAACCAACAGGGTTGTGATTTGAAGTTCAAGCTAACACAACTTTACTTTGTTTCAGATGACCCATATTTCTGATATTCCTGTTGAGTTGTTAGTCTATATCTTTAAATGGGTTGTATCAACAAGCCTGGATTTTAGATCTTTGGAACAACTCTCTATGGTAAGGTCGCAGGCAATAGAAATCTCCTTCTTAACCATTCCTTTTCTTTTCACTCTTTGCAATAGTTAAGGAATGTTGTGCTTTCATTAGCACCCATGATTTTTGGGCAAGCATCAACACCCTTAAGAGAACTCAGCTGTTTTTATGTTTACTCTGACTTCAAAATTAATTATTTGGACATTTACAAATTGAAGTGAAAAATGATCCATAGTTTTGGTCTAAGTTGCCATCAGTAAACCAGACACTTTGCTGTCTTAGCAATCGGACAACCAGACAATTGATTTCCTTTATGTATTGCCTGTGCATTTTTCAGGTGTGCAAAGGGTTTTATCTTTGCGCAAGAGATAGAGAATTATGGCGACTGGGATGTGTACGGTACAGTATAGCCTTTTTGTACAAAATTTATTTGAATGTATTGTTAATAACAAAAATCCATTTGTATATAATTTTTATGCTATGACATCTTGGTCATTCAGTCTTTGAGTAATGATTTTTATTGTTTTAATGAACAATAGTATTAATATTCTTCTTTGATAGAATTTGGGGTGAAAACTGTGGTCTTCCTACCAACTGGAATAACTCTTGGCGTTGGATGTTCATCACTAAACCACACATATGGACGCAAGGTACATCCAACACTTGATTATAGTAATTTAAATTAATTAATATGTATTAAGTATCATTATTGAGACATAAAGCTCAATGGAAACTGCAAAGTTGGTTGCAATTCAGTAGCTATTAAGACCAGCAAGATATTATTTTATAATAGAGAATTTGCATTATGGAATCATTTACTACCAACTATTAGAACTACTTTTACTCTGATGAATGATTAACATCCGAAACGTCAGTAAGTTATTTCACATACTTTTTTTACAGTGTTAAATTTATCTTTTTACACAACTGTTTCTACTAGAATCATTTGCCAACTTTCTTTTGTAATGCAATTAGTGCCAATTGTTTTATTAATTTCCAAGTGGATTAAAAATCTGAATAACAAAATGAAAATCTGCGAGGCTCTCTGGTAGTTGTTACACAGTAGTAAAGTCACACCATCATGCAAATGGACTATTGGCTCAAAGTCATTAATATATCATGACTTTAAATTTGCAATAAAGTAAATACAAGAATTATTTAATAATTTTCCAAAACGTAAACTAGAAGTGCACTTTGGGGATCATTGTTGACTATCCCGTGTAATTTTTATTGGTATTTTCATTAAATCATCCACTTTAAGGTGTGTATATTAGCAAGACATCGTACGTCAGACAAGGTGAACAAATACAGGATTTATGGTCTTTACATCTTGTCACTTACTACAGATACATCAGATTTTTTAACAATGGTAAGTTTTGTTACCTTCAAAATTGAACCATTAATTATTTTACACTACATGTATATGACAGCTTAACATACGTACGTCTCATTGCAATAGACTAATCCTCAGCTTGAGAAATGTTTTATGTTTATCCCTTTTCAAAATCCTTTTTGAGTAGAATTCAGTCTTTGTTTTGTGAAACAATCAATAAAATCATCACCTTATTGCCTTATGAAGGTGATACGGAAAACAATTATACCACTCAATACTCAACACCAAAAGATGTTTAATTGGGGAAGGGGAGGGAAATGTTAAAATCAGTCCAACAATCATTGTGGGACTGTGTACATGATCCTTTGCATGCCACTGTGGGCACATCGTGATTTATACACCATTTTGTTAACACTTTATTTGCTATTATAAAATTTTTAATATATAACTTGCGCTCTGATTGGCTGACCACTGTGTTTATATCAGAGGACAGAGACACGGCTTACCGGCAAAAATTTCTTTTCTATCGAAAAATTTTATTAAAGAAATATAAAACGGCCGCTTGTGTCTCTGTCCTCTGTCCTAAGCTTGCTTCTCTCGTGTTTTTCGAACTCCCACCGTGTTTATATCAGAGGACAGAGACATGCGCGCCGTTTTATATTTCTTAAACAAATAATGTATATATTCCCAAATGGTTCATCAAAATTACAAGTCAATTGCAACATATTTTGATTTTAAACTGATTCCTGTCAAATACTAGGATCTGTAATAGTGTTCACCACTCCAGAAGAACCACAATACATAGTCCCAAGACTGAACCAGTCAGGGCTGTCCTTACGTTATGGTTATTACAAAGTCATTGGGTCAAAGGTAAATTTTCACTTGATTCTCATTTGTTCAATAACCTGTCAGAGAAAGAGAGTTTAGTTATGACAAGTCTTGGTGTTTGAAATAGCTATATGCAATGAATTTAATTGGTAACTTTTATGGATTCAAACAACTTAGGTGGTGATAGATCTTGATGTTGATGTCAAGCCTATTGATAGTGGTAACCGAGGAAGAAAGAACAGGAAGGTTATTTCACAATACCTGGAAAATAAATTCCACATGGTAAGAACTTATTTACAGGGTTTGTGCTTTCTCCTTGAAAAATCCTGGAATTGAAAACTTGTTTTCAAGGGCGCTTGCAGGAAAAATCACCAGAACTCCTGGAAAACATGAATCTGATGAAACTGACATGTTGCTTTTTAGCTTTGACTTTGAAATATGGCTCTTTTTGAAAAGCTTCACTGGAAATGCTCACAACATACAAAAAAACATGTTCAAAAATTGTCCTTTGCAAATTGCATTTTTGTGCTTAAAAGGTACTTATGAAGTCCTGGAATTTTGTAGCATGAATGTAACATGAGCCCTGATTTTATTATAAATCCCAAAAAGAAGGAAATAAAACCAATGCAAGGATTGCCAAGACTAGTGATAAAAATCTTGTTCAGTCTAGACTAGACACTAACTTTACTGACTTAAACTCCTTTTTTCTTAAGGAATTAGAGATAAGAAGCACAGGGAAGCGCCATCCTCATAATCAGCTTGTCTGGTCATGTTATTATCATCGTCGTACTTACAGGTAATAATACGTCATCATGTCTAATCAGTGTGTCACAAGGTGATGTCACAAAGCAAGAAGACATAATTAAAGAACCATAACCACCCGTCGTACCTTGCACGCTCGTATTATTATTGTTTACATATGTTTAAATGCGTCAAGCATACAACAAGCGTCGATTTAAAACCGGCACGTTTATTTATTTCCGGCATGTCATTTTTTTGCCTATTCAATAGGTAAAGTGCGCCAGGATACCTATTGAATAGGTAAAAAGTATCAGTATACCTAGTAGACTAGGTATTATGGACATAGTACCTATTTGAATAGGTATTACAACCAGAATACCTAGCGTAATAGGCATTGCGTGCCGTTATACCTAGCGTACTAGGTATTTTGCACAAATATACCTAGTGAGTAGGTATTTTCAGAAGGGATAAAACAAAATCTTAAATGATGATTGACAGGCTTTTTCTTCTGGAGCTGGTGTACTATTAATAGTCCAATTATTGGTTGCGGAACGCGAAGAACGTGATGCAAACAACAAGTCGTGATCAAGTCGCCGGTGAACGTTTTATTAAGTACACGGTCTTGGTTATCTTTTTTGAAAGATGCACACATTTCATTTTCAGCGTGTCAGTTTATAATTCAGCAAAAGTTCATGGTTACCCTGGTTCTGGAGGCTTGTCTTTTATTCTTTTTAAAAAGCTTTTACTATGTTGTCGAGCCGCGAAGCAGACATCGAGACGTTTCCGTTAATCGGTTTGTTRTCATGCCCAAAAACAATGATGTCAAATAATATCTCAKGTCTTGTTCAGTTGATGGGACTTATTCCCTTTATTTTAGAACGGCAATCGTCTATTATATGAAAACGTCACACACGTTTTAAAATCATTTTTGTCGATTGTAGTTGACCTCGTTGTTGATGTTCAGTCTTGATCAACTTGAAAAACTTCAAAACAATAACTTACGTAGACTTTTACAATAATGTGAACTGAAAAAGATGCTATGGCACATGCATTGAAAGAAATAGTATATACAAACATTAGGGAATATCAAAGCCAGGTTTCAGAAGCATATTTGAGCTGGAAAGACGTCTATACATTCATGGCTGAATGTCGGTGAAAGGTCAAGGCACTAATCATGTACATCCCTGAATGATGATTGGCCAGAGTTTCGCGCCAAATATCGATTCCTGCAAGCGCGGGTGTAGGAATTGTATGAAGCTACAGGCTCAGTTGATGCAAGTGAAGTTGAGTCAATTGAAAATCAGTTGGCAGTCACTTCTATTTGTGGATGTTTATGGAATGTAAACCTTGAAATTATATACGTCCGGTAATCTTATAAGATAACAATAAAGTTTAATTGCTATGATAGGTATGCAACTAAAATTTTCATTCATTTGCAGATAAACACGGCAAAAACCAAAAATATCACTATATATTTACATAATGGAAATGACAGATCTTAAAAATTTAGAATTCATGACATCAATAATCAACTGAAATGGTAAAAAAAAATCACTAGGGATTTCAGTCGCCGTTGGATATTGAAGCATGCATGTAAACATGTATGGTCACAAATGCCTATTCCACTAGGTATTTTTGTGCTCTATGAAAAATGCCTATTCCACTAGGTATTTTTGCGTGATCTATGAACTGTGAGCCAAAAACGCTTCGCTGTCGTAAATGAGTATAATATGGTCACAAATGCCTATTCCACTAGGTATTTTTGAGCTCTATGAATAAAATGCACATTCCACTAGGTATTTTTGCGCGANACCATAACCACCCGTCGTACCTTGCACGCTCGTATTATTATTGTTTACATATGTTTAAATGCGTCAAGCATACAATAAATTATAGATTGATAGTACCTATGAGGTACTTAGTTAAAGGTATTTCTGTCCAAACTGAAAGGACGGAAGACGATTTGCGCTCACTTTAAGAAATCCTACATATCTGCCATTTTCGTGTCCACCRAAAATGGCGCTTCGGTTCGCAAGGTACGGCGGGTGGTTATGATTCTTTAAGAATAAAATATATCCTTATTATCTATTACTTGAATGAAAGGTGTTTAATTTTCTCAACAGGGATACTGGAGAAACAGTGGTCTCAAACTTTGATCTCAGGACACAATTTCCACCATTTTTCTACTCAAGAGTACGCAGCTACACAAAAGCATCGCATGCCCCATTGAAATGATGAGCCGTTTTAGATATTCCTGTAGCCATACGTGTGAAGATGTTTGTCCCACAGGCTTCCTTTTACTGCTTTTATTTTAGTATTTTATAATTTAGGGCAAGATGAAAAATGTTGGAATGTATAGACCCCTTGTAGGTGACGTCAAAGTAGCTTCATCTTAGCCTGTGTCACATCCGGACAAACCTTTTAACTGTGGTTTGTCCGGATGTGACGCAGGGTACTTCATCTGGAGGACAAATGAAAGATATTTGCCCTAGTGTTAAGTAAAACCCATTTTTTTGTCATCCAGGTGTACAGTAGTTGCATTGCTATACACTGCAAGGGGCCCATATGGTAATAAAACAGTATAGGAAGCCCCTGGAACCAGGTGTAGGTAGCAGACAACAATGTAGTAATAGTATTAATCTCCCAGTATTTAAATTCATTGACATTGCTACTCAGTATTGGCATTTAATGTGCACATTTTTTAAAGCTTTACACAGGTCAGAAATGTCACCTTGCAAGAGTAAGTGATCACAAGACACAATACAAACTTAAAAACTTAAAAATGATGCATTAATACAATAGAATGCAATACAATGTCTTGCATACATTTGTCAGAGTACAGGCAATGGATGCATTATAATTGTTTTCAACCTTCACAGTTAATTAATGGAGAAATTCACTTGCTGTAATTTTAAGGGTTTGCACTCTTTGCAATGCCCTGCAGTCATTTCAATCTAGTAAAGTATCTAAAGTTTGTTTTATCCTTGTTTTGTGAATTTGAGAAAGTCTGAAAACCGCATAAATTATCAATACCAATTCTTACACAGCATAAAACAGCATTCATGTCAAGAACTTTTATAAAAGAAAATAACTTTGTAAGATAACCTTGTAAATACATGTACTTCAATAGTCTCCTTTTCACTTTCCTGTGTGGTCTTGAAACTTAGCCAGGTAATAAGGATACAACCAAGAAAACATCTTTCATAACATTTATAATTGCAAGCACATGAATTGTCTTGCTTCTGGTTCTGTCCTAGTTTCAAGGTGGCGAAGAGAACTGTGAAGGAGATAAACATTGTCTGTCCAAAAATACACATACTTAGTTGTTGTGATATTGACATTGTAATTATTCAGAAATACTACAAATGTAAGAAATTAAATCTGTTGTATTTTGTACAAAATAATAGTGTACTAACTAGTAGTTGCTCTGTTAATTTTCTTAGTGTGGTTTTGATAAACCACTAATAATAGAATAACACACCTATGTTACTGTAACAGTAAATAATAGTTTAACAATAGGTCTACAAATCTCAAGTTATACTTGAGGAATCTTATGAATTTTTTAACACAGGTTTAATGTTTTCATTAAATGTTCATTAGCCGATAACAAAACGAGCAGGGGCCTGGGACTGAAACTTTTAAAAGTGCTACAATCTTACAGAAATCTGTTGTTGATAGATAAAGCACATATAAATTAGCTAAACTTTAAAGTTTGAGCAAGTTTAAGTCATTAGAATTGGGAATATAATTTTTTTAAATTTCGAAAATTACAAAGAATGTATGTTTGYCTGGACGCTTTGGCTGGACACCATACATTTCTTTGTAATTTTGGCATGGTTTGAATGTCCYTAACTTTATTGCTATAAGTTCAAACATCATGAAACTTAGTCAGTAAGCCTTTTATTAGGTGCTCTTTCACATGATGYGCTTATTTTTTCTGGAAACATTATTTAATTAGATTTGGAAGTTCGTACCCAGTCCCTTTTTCGTTTTGTTATCGGCCAATTGACATGACACATCTTTGTATTTATTGGTTTTGGAATCATTCTCTGGAGAGTCATTTAGACAAAGAAGTGGCATCAATGTTTGTTTTCCTGGGATTGATTGCCCATCCATGTATTTCTCTAATTTATGTCCAGTTTCTGTGTTTTAAAACAAAAAACTTTCCTTGCATTTCTTCTTGGATTTCCTGTCCACTACAGCTTTACATGGACCTTCTCTACCTCCATCTTTTCTATTTATTCTTTTGCAAGTGAGTTTGTTCAAATTCACACCAAATTCCCCAATGGTCACTTGGAAAACAACCTGAGGCTAACCTCTCCTGACCAACTAATGTGAAACAAGCAGGGTTCAAGGAAATGTTGTTATTTTTACGATAGTAAATTCTATCAAATCTCAACTTGCATTTCCATTCCATGCCTAAATTGTCATTCTTGCTGGTATCCCAAGTGTACTTGGTAGTTATATTACTTCCACAGGCTTCCCACAAATCGTCAATACGCCAAGGAAGGCCGACATCTTGAACTTCTTTATCTCTTAAGTTTGTATCCCCACCGAATATGACAAACTCCTCTCCATCCTGCYAAGAAATCTCAGTATATACCTCTTTCAGTTGTTTCTTTCTTTCTTGTACACAGTTTTTGGTGCTTTCAAGATGTGACGTCATCAAAACTAACTTGATTTTATCATAGAGCAGGGCAGGTTGAGTGAGGATATGACGACCCATTTTACTTGTCATGAAAAGCTTGCATTGGAATTCTGTTGTTGGTTTTATTGTTGTTTTTCGTAACAACATTGCATTGAAGTAAGCTACTCCAGTGTAAGCTCTAAGAACCATGTATCTGGAACAATAATATAATAACTTTAATAATTACTCCTTAAAAAGGTTTTTTTTGGTAATTATTTACTACAGTATTATGAATAGAATCATACTTGATGAGAAATATATCTCCAATAGTCTTCTTCATGGTTACCTGTGCCTTTCTGAAAGGTAGCTGTGTCTTTGCATCGAAGCGGATGACTGTCTTGCTTCGATGTAAAGGCATGGCTACTTTTCACTATGGCACACGTGATCGTGAAGGGGACTATTAGAATTCATTGTAAATTATACAGTCATCAATATCATGAAATTTTATGATGATAATAATAAGGATAAAAATTTGATAATTAAAAGTTGGCAGGTGTCTTACTCTTGAAGTTGACTTTCAAATATCTGAAATGTTCCATCAATAACCTCTTGTAAAAAGACCACATCTGGCTGCCTGTCCTTGATCAGACTAATGACATATCTTGTTCTTTCTCTTGTTTGGTTTCCATCAAGACCATCAATATTCCATGACAACAGCTTTAAATTGTCACTTGTGTTTATTCTACAAAATGCAAATAAAATCAGCAGAAAAACAATAAGTAGAAGGGACTGGGATTGCAGGGTCAACAGTCTCCCTAGCCCACTCTCCCTGGAGTATAGAGTAGTGGCTCTAAAAAATTAAACCCAATGGCTGAATCCATACGACCTGTTCGACCACCCAACACTGTTAAGTGGTATTTGGAGATATGTCAACATCTGTCTGATCATTAAACCAATTCTTTGTTGGCCATTTTTAAACTGTATTTCAACATCATCAAAAGAGAGTGGAAAAAAGCAACATTTGAGTTATTTAGGATTTTATTTGCTGTTGTTCATATTGACTCTATAACACCTACTGACTGTCTTGTGATGTTGCCTGCATCACTGAACTTTGCTGAACAGGTGGTTTCTCAGGTGAATCTAGGATCTAGGACACACTTAAATATTATAGCTTCCATTACACAATGTTTATATGTTATGCAGTTTATTTAGAACATATTTGTTGTCTGGATTCTCCATGATTTTTTGTTTAAGTAATGCCCCGAGTAAGAACTATAGAAGCAAACGGCAAAGGAATGCAAGAAGGTGCTAATTGTGTATTGTATAATCCATCCATCCCATTGGTTCAAACAAGAAAATCTGCTATAATTTTACAAGTTAGCGCATTTTCTAATATTTTATTTGATATCTGATTCCGACTTCATGAAAGCTTTCTTTAGCTACAATATTTTAATATTGCCTTAAAAGGTAATGTATGTGGGGAACATAGCAAATTAGAAGCTTTTTTTGGCTATTGTTATGAGTGCTTATGATTGGATAAGAGGTTTTAATACAAAAAAACTATTTATCCACATTTTATTTCAAAAATGCGTTACCCAGAGGTTGATAATCACTGTGAAAACCAAGACATTTGTATGTGGGGAAGTTGCAATGCCGCAGAACAATAGAGAGTTCTACAGTTCTTACGCACATTGTTAATTAACAATAAATTTATATGACAGCTGACAAACAATGTTTGACTTCCATTCCACACATACGGACACATATTTACCTCAATTGGGTTTCCTGTGGTCCCCATGTCATCTGGTTTTGCATACAAATACTTATCAAGTGCAACCTGAGTACGCAGACAAACAGTTGAGATAACTCTAAGCTTGAGAAAAGCCTCAATGCCTCTCCGTCTCACTTCTGCAGCTTTTGGGATAGAGGCTGGCAATACCCCTCCCCCCTCCCCCCACACACCTCGCTAAAACAATGTCCAGTCCCTAACTTTTACATATTCCCTGTAGTGTTTCATAAACACTGATTTAAATTATTTTGAATTAATGCGATTAACATTCTTACTTCAATGTTCCAGCAAGAAGCCTCCAAAATTTGCACAGCGGTGGTGACGTCAGTCAGAGTTACGTCGCGAAACCGCTCCAAAATCGCCTGTTTTTCAATCTTTTCATCGCCGTTTGTTGTCATAATTGTAGCTGCGAAATCATTCGAGATCTCAAGCCATGAAAGTCGGAAATAAAGACAAAATACTTGTCACCGCACCTTCCACAACGGACTTTCACCGAATCCGCAAAATCAACCAACACATTCCAGTCCTCCGCGTACCTTATGATATGCGCACGTGACTTCTGTTTTACCGCTTTGTTGACACGATTCCCGCTGAAATTTGAATTTTACTAGCTTTCTTTTAARRTTAATCTAAGGAAATGACTSCTCTAATTGCAAGCAAGTTCGCAAGATTTAATTGTACTGGATTGTGTGCGTTTTTAAGCAAGGGAATTGAAGGTAAGGTGACGTGAAGACCGGAGTTTGGATGGTTGTCAAAAGCTACTCATCGTCTCCATCGTCTCTCAATGAAATTACCGCATACATGTAATTTGTAGCTACAAATTTGTAGAAGACTTTCGTCAAAGCAGCACTGTTTATGTTTGATTGTTGTACACTGAAGGTTTGTTTCAAAATTCACAATCAATCTTCGAGGGGAATTCAGGGCCAAATTCCATTTTATATCCGGGATCTTATATCCACACCCCCCGGCCATTAGGCCATAGACCTTTCCTTAAAATTAATTTCTGGGGGGTAAAACGTATCGGTGCGTTTGATCTTTTTTTATTCTCTTGGGTGTGAGTTAACGATTACTAAATTTCTGAGGGGTTTATAATATGACAGCACCTTTTTGATGTTTATTTTTCTAAGGGGTGTGGATGTAAAATGCCCTCACTCGCTTGAATTGAGAAATTTCGGTCCTTATAGACTGTCGTTTAGGAAGAGGTTTTCAAAGAGCCAATATAATCATCTTATTAGGGTCTGTATTTAACTTTAGACTTTTTTATTTTTGTGAGGAATTATGGAAGAAACAAAGAATAAAAGGGAAGAAAAGAAAAAGGTGACAAGAGAAGGGAATTGTCACATTGGTTTGCTTTCAACAAAAGAATTAGAATGACACAAAAAGCAAGAAGAAAAATAAAAAAACAGATTCCAGGATTATCAAGATTACAGGTAAGAATATTAATTATATTTTTTTATGAGATAGCAAATTACCTAACAGTGCATTGAAATAAACTTTCCAAGCTATCTGGGGAATGGATAGAAATACAGTTAGAGTTATTCTCCTCCTGTAGCCTTATGAGGCTTTTTCCCTGGGGCAGTCAGCACCAATTGGAGCAGGTCTCATGATAGGTTGAGAAAACAAGACAAACAAGTTTTCCAACAATAAAACAAAGCTTAATAACCTAACAATAGAGCTGCTGTACTTAAGCAACAATCAAAAAGCAGATTTTGATTGATACTGTATTGCTGGTTCCCCAGTCTCTCCCCCTAGGTCTCAAGTAAGCTTTTTCTTACCATATTCAAATGACATACTTTAAGTAAACTGCCTAATTATTACATCATGTTCCCGGGGTATGTTTTTTGGCCTTGCTGTTTTAAACAGGGTATGTACATTTCACTCGAAATTGTCTTAAACAGGCTCTACAATTAACTAGATAAAAGACCGATATAATTTTTTTGTGTGTCCTAGATAATATTTTCATAAGCAATACCATGCTTAGAAATAGTAGAAATACCGTTTCACTGTAGCAGGATTAACGTGTTATCAAAAACTTCTTAATGTCTTTGATGGATGTCAGTATAATTGCACTTTTGATGGTTGCGGCGCAGATACCTATTCCTTATTTTTCCGATTTGTCTTGAACAGGGTATGGATTTTCACTTTCTAGTGTCTTAAACAGGGTCAGGGATTTAGACCGATTTAGACCGCTTCCCCCCCCTCCCCCCCCCCGGGATAAGGATGTCACATCATGTTTATCGTGATCAAAAACACTGGAAATTTACACATATTTATATTCCGTTGATTTGATATAGTTTAGATTTTACCTTGGTAACAGTGCTAATAATACAGTCATTCTGTCGTCCCTATCGCGACCATATTGACTATTCTCAAAATTCCAGTACAGGCGGGAATATCATTAAGATTATGCATAAATTGATTGTTTATTTTATTGTTTTCTATCCCAGGAATGAGGATATTCCTGCATGTACTGGAGTTTTGATAATAGTCAATTCCCCAGTGTTGCAGTGTCAATGATCAAATGTTTTGGTTTGTTGCAATAAAGGGACGAAAAAAAAGGAGAGAACTCCTCCTCTTTCTTCTTTGGCGAGATGCGTGCAGATTGAGAGCGCAATTGAGAGCACAACCGCTCCAATATAAAAAAAAGTTTTTTTAATAGAGATGCCTGCGGAGGAGGCTACCTCTGTCGATACTTCCCACAATGCACATCGGCTCACCACATGCATCAAAACGAGGTAGGGCTCAGAGCTATTAAGTATTGTTTGCTTCCTCTATCATAGGCTACCCAACTATTGCTTGAGAGAAAGAAAAGAATGAATGCGCACGCTTATATTATCTTATCGCATTGGCGCGCGATGCGGGTTTCCTGTGGTATTACGTCATTGATCCCTTGCCTCGCGGGTATGTTATCGAATCGGCTTGCGCTGCGGGTTACTTACGTCACGATCCCGCGCCTCGCGGGATACAAACTAGCCTGTGTCACAGACTTGTTTGAATCCCGCGAGGCACGGGATCGTGACGTAATACCACAGGTAATCCGCATTTCACTAAGAGCGCGCGCCGATACTAGTAAAAAGCGTGCGCATTCATTCTTTTCTTTCTCTCAAGCAATAGTTGGGTAGCCTATGCCTCTATATGCTGCGTTGCGACGAATAAGCGGATCTTTGTTTACAAAATTTTGCTAATTAAAACGTTTCTCTTTTCAAAGAAGCATTTGAGTAGTTTTTCATTTAAAATGTAAAGCGCTTTCAGCTTTAGGAAAGACTCTATAGAAATTAATATTTATTATTATATTTTATTACTAGTTTTAGCCCCCTTGCAGACGTTATTCTTATGAGTCATACCAGATCAAGGTATATGAGCTCAACGTAATCGGCTGAAATCTCGTCTGGGGATTTTTGCTTGCGCATCACTAACAAGATGTGAGAAATTTGCCATCTGTATAATAATACGGAGGAGAGGAGGGTAGGGATGGTTTGTGCTCCCTGTGAGTTGACCCGATGTGATTTTCTCGAGGGTAAAAGTCGATTTCACAGGAAGAGCCTTCTAACTCTTTTGTAAATGCTACATATCTAACTAATCGAACTTGAACTATGTTTATCAGGACATGGAAATAAGACTATAGTTTTTTTAGCTATATTTTTGTTTTGGTGGATTTTGGTATTTGATAATGACAGCAGTTCACAGCCTCAGGGGCTGAATTTTGTTTCGAATTTTTATAATTCCTTTGTACTTGTTCTAAGTACCTGTCGTCACAAATTGCTGTCTCTGTTGTTATCATATAAAGGTATGCAACAAATTCCACATCGCGGTTATGATATAAAAATAAATTTATTAGTAATACAGGAAAAGATTTGAAAGTTTCTTGTGTTATTATACAACGTGACGCCCCGTGAATCTAATGTCTACCATTCTATAAGTCTCTTCCTTTTGTAACACCGACATCGCATTGGTGAACATTTTTGACTGCAAAGAATTGTAAGATATTATCAGCATTGAATGGGTTTGTGCTTTCAATGTGGTTTGACATAATTTCAAAAGTAATCGCATTTTTAAAAATTTTATTTAAT